GTACAAGTGATGTAAAGTAAACATAATTTGTTCTGTAATAAATTCAAACAAGAATATGATGAGATACTCAATAATCAAATATGTTTAGCTCTTGTATAGCATGCGATTTCAAGAATGTCTAAATACAAACTATCTTATATTATTTGTGTATAATTTACCCGCATAAAGGTTATAAAGTATCGAAACAGTATTTGATAGTTCTTTCACACATTAAATTTTTTTGATTTAATATTTAATTTAATTGATATAAGAAAACTGAACAACGTTCAATAGAGAGTATAGTAAAAGTTTAGCATTGCGTTTAAATATAATAAAGCGATATCCACTTTTTCCTAAGAGATACGAAAAGACACGGAAATGCTTACACTTAACAAGAATAAACGCTAGTGTGGGACAATGAACTTTTTTCGGTCCCATCCATAATTTGGGACATACCTGGTGATCTCATGGAATCATGATCACAACCAACCGTGAATGCTCAAGTTTTAGATCTAATGGGAACACAGAAGCAGTACCTGCATTAAACATTAGTTATGCAAAGTATATGCGACTTTATAAGTAGTTTTTTCTTTCTAAATGGCTTCTTAGTCTGTCTTGTTTTGAGTCACTTCTAATTATAAAAAGTAAAAAGATGTCCATATTTCATAAGCATAATTTTTTAAGCGTACTATTTATATTTAACTGATATTTCAATGTCTTCAACATTTTCACCAACAATAATTGTAAAATATGGTAAAACAAACTAAGGACAAAGTGAAGAGGTCACACTATAATACTATGTATATAAACATCCGCATTTATTGCGACTAAGAGGGGATGAGTAGCTTTCCCTAAAAAAGTGCAAGAATGCATCATATGATAGCGAGTATTATTTACATTAAAATTGCATATTTATATGTGTTTTGCAATAAGATAAACGCATTTACCCTTAGGTAGTGCCTTTTAAGCGAAGTCATTTTAGATCCTTCGAATTGTCAGCTTGGGAAAAATGTCTCATAAGTTTATTGAGCACAAAACTTTGCACATTTACGCTGTTTGTAGTTTTCTTTATTAAATAAATTGTACAAAATTAGTAAATTGCGTGCTCAAACATATGTCCTAAGAAATATTGATGTATTTTTTATATTATGTACGTTGTGGCGAAGTTAAGGAAAAACATTCCTTGACTTGTATTTTTTAGGTTGGTGGCGTTAATTGAATAAGATTTTTTAATTAATTTTTACTATATTCAAGATATTTTTTCTTAAGTTTATTTTTAAGACTGTTTATGGCCTGAAAAGAAACAATTCTTTTACCAATGATAAATAGATGTTAATTAAAAGTTTTACTTGGTTGAATCATAAGATGAGTATGTGACAAACTGAGAAATGATGACCTTAACTTTGTTGTCGCTAAATAAATGATAAAAGTTTATTGGAAATTATTCTACTTCAATTCTCTCAGCTGAAAGAGGATTCAAATATTACTAAAATGCGAAATAAATTAAAAAAAGGAAGAACGAAGCTATAAGAACCTAAGGAAGAACAAGAAGAAGATAAATTTGATTTTGTCAAATTTCCAATATTCATTAGTTTTAGAAATCACTTGTTACACAATTACTTATTCAATTTTTACAGCTTTATTCTATATTTTAAAACTTGTATTTTGAAATTAAGACGAATAGAATCTATTTAATTGATTTAATTATGCAAATAAGCGGATTTTATGGACATAACGTTTATAAGCCACTTGTGACTTTTAAGTACGATTTTATTAAAATAATGAAATATAAGATACGGATACAAAAATTCGAAACGGGATGACATTATGAAAGGAGCGAATTGTGAACTAAGATCTTAGTTATATGAAGGTTTTGTAAGAATTAAAAACCAAACTAAATTTTTTTAATTGGATGTAAACCTGGAAAAGTTAAGTCACTTAACATTTAAAAACAATTCATTTAATTACGGTTTAAACTCGCTCATGAAAAAAACCAGTTTAGTACATTATATTTATTTTAAATTTTTTTAACATATATAATGCTGTTTCTAGCCTATCACCATTTTATTACCATTGAAATAAATTATATGAAATGAATTATTTTTTAAAAAAATGTGAAAAAAATTTGCTTACTTTTATTAAGTTTTAAAACTTTAATAAACGAAAGTTTTGAATAACTTTTGTAGAAAAATGAAGAAAACTTAAATTTTAAATAAATGTTTTGATATGAATGTCATATGCAGATATGAAATGCAGACTGCCAATTAAACGAATTTTATACATTAAACTTTTGTAAACGTGATATTATCAGGATAACGCAAGTGCAGCAACATTTCAGGGAGATAAACATGGTAAATTTTATCTCCAAACAAAGGCATATCATTTATATTATAGATACATGTTGACAACCGAAGTATCACAAACTGACGGGCTAACATTCAAACTCTACACTATCAACTCACCTTGCCATTACCTTCCCATGTTTGCGCCAACTGTTACATAGCTCAAACCCTCAATTGATACTAGATTATATCATTCATAGTTACTGCATGTCACGTATATTTTGCTGTATGGTTATATAAATGCATTAGATAAAAAACGAAATACCTACACTCGAAAATATTCATGCGAATTTAAATTTACATATCAAAAAAAAGCCCACATAAACAGCTTTATTTCAAATTGAAAATAGCGAAAAATTTTGTCAAAATTAAAGTCTTCCATATTGGTGAAAGTCAGTTCAATTAAATAATAAGTGCCGCCATATTTATGTTAATAAAAATTTTAATTTTTACATATACGGGGTGGCCCAATTGAACTGCGACCAACTTCTAACTGCTATAGTCTATAAACTGGTTACGATTAACAAATGGATGCGCCAGATGGTTGCTTGAGGGATCAGATGTAAAAATTGCGTATAATGAATATATACTAGTTTATGTTAGACGGCATGTGAAATTTTTTTTACTGTAATCAATGTAAAAAGTTCACAACTTAAAACGTCTATATAAATAAAGGTACATCATCATATATCGTATGCAAAATTTGCTTAAAATAGTGGACTCTACTATAATACGTTGGCAATTAACATTGCCCTGCGTATTGTAATCGCTCCAGACGTATAGTGTGACTTTTTGAGCGGAAATGACGGAATCCTCGAAGAGTTCTTACATGAATAAACCTTGTGTACATGTATTGAACCACATTATGTTATGTCGAAATGTTGGTTGTCTTTTGATTCCTTTAATTTCCTATTTGATTACTTACATTTTTTATAAATTAATCAAAAGAATCAATAATAATTTAAGTTTAATTAATCAGAATTAATTATTAGGTAGCCCAATAAAGCTATATTTTTTATATATATATATAAGAATGCTGTTTACTTCAATCTATAATTGAATTTTGTTCATCTAATATATTGAAAAGTTGGAGTAAATATAAATTTTTGCCAATTTATTTCAAATGTTCGATATATCTTTGCTGTGAGCTATAAATTTTAGTTGATTGGAAAACGAATCATACTCTGCGCGAATGTGAACCAATGGAATTTTCACTCCTATGAAAGTATTTTAATGAACACTTTAATAATTCGGTATTTTTTTATGTTGACCCTGACCCGAAAATGTCCTATACTGCATAATCATAAATGGTCCTATGTGACTTGAAATAAGTATATCTGGCATTATTGGTTGATACCTATGTGTTTCGCTTGACGATACAAATCTTTTTACAATTTGTACTTCCCGTTACCTTGATTGCAGAATGTTTTAGAACACCTTGTAAAATTTTTTTATACTAGACATATGGAATAAATCTGACGTATTTTGATCACTTGTTTGATAACAAATAGGCTAATTAAGTAATTTTTATCATTAAAGATGATATTCTTATAATTAAACAATTGACTGTGTAAATGTCACAATTATCCTTAGGTTTATTGAGTATAACATTTTTTTAAAAGCTTTTAAGGCTTCAATTTGCACTCGTTTTTAAGTATTCGTTATGTGGCTCTTTTTGATATGTTGACGTCGTGCAACCATTGTCTTCCAATACTGGAGGAATTAATTTCGTAGACGCATCTTCTTTTCGACATACCATAACGTTCGCGTTACTGTCGACTCAAGAGTCTTCATAATTGCCAATTGTTGATTTCTACTCTAATCATACTATTATGTTTAAACTACTTCACGGACATTTTTTCAAAAATCATTGAAAAAATAATTTATAATATATTGCGGATATGATACATAATGATAAATGATAAAATAAGCGACATAAGCAAAGTAATATTAAAAAAACTTATTGAAAATTGATCGTAATAGCAATTTATTATAAATGAAATTTAAATACAATATTAATAATGTTAATTTAGTTTTTAGGATTTTAACCAAAAAGCAATAAATATTCTGAGAAAATCATAAAATTTCTTTACAAAAACAAATAAAATTTAATAAAATAAATCTGATTAATTTATTTTTATTTTAATCAAATATATATCGCTACAATATAAGCGATAAACTGATTGAAATATTTTAAAGACACATTTTTATAAATTTTTGTTTGAACACAAAAAGTTCTGCTTTAAAGTATAGTTCGTTCGCTTTTAACTGAATTAAAAGCAAAAAACCCAAAAATATTGCCCACTTTGTAAAAGTTTTTAATAAAATGTTTTGTTCGTGATTGAAAAAAGTTTATTTATTGTTCTCTTCTCAGTTAAGCTTGCATTTCGTTTTTAACTTTTATTACTAATATTGTTTTATACGACCAAGTAGCCAAGGGGAACAATTTATTGTCTCAACTACCGCTTTATCTATAGGGAAAAGATACTTAATAAAGAAAACTCAACTTCACCGTAATCTCATGTGACACATTTTTCCCAATTCTGTGCCAAATGTAATGCGGAGGAAAACGTCTGTCGTTAAACTAAGTCAATTTGTTTTTGGTCTTTATTAAATTATAATTGTACGTGGGTATGTTATGTCTTAAGTATAAATATGTTTTAGTTTAGTAGGACTTACCTTAGCACTCAACAGTACAACGGTCAATGAAAAAAATACCACCGCTTTCATTTTGCTGAAAAATGGTCGAAGTAGATGTCCTCTTCGTTTAGTAAATTAAAAACCGTTTTTCCTCGTTTGTGTAAAATTTTAAATTTACAGGATGTGGTTTTTGTGCTAGAACAACGTTGGAATTCAACTAATCATGTCAAAAATAATACAATTAAATTAGAAATGAATTACAACAGTAATTCCAAAAATGAGAGTAAATAAATTTAATTAAGTTTTTAATTTTTTTAATATGTTCGGCGGTGTAATGTTGTACTCAGATAGAATAATGGTGGTCTAACTTGATTTAAGTAGCAAAGTTAGACATGTTACTAGAATAAGTTTAAAGATGCTAACTTAAGGGATTTATGAGAGTGTAATGCATTTCGTACCTACTATATGAGTAAACTTAGTTTCATAGTTCGAAACTGAAAAAATTCACAAACTGATTTATGCACAAATTCGAATTACTTCACTAAATATATTTGTATGCTTAGCGTAAATGTTCTAATTTAACAAAAACAATTATTTTTATGAATGTTTACTTATTTTTAAATGCACATTATTATTAATTTGAAAAGTACATTCCGTTAAAATATATTTTAAACAATAAAGACTTTATTCACTTCAATGCAAACGGCTCCTTACTCTGAACAACCGTTACCGCTGACAATATTTGGTAGACTGCTGCTCTTATCAGTTATACACATCCTTTTATATTACAATAAAGAAGGTTGTTTAAGGAAGAGGTTGACGCCGGTGGGTAGATGGTGTTTGAAGGCACTTGTTGCCATTTTAATCGCTTTAGGTTCATGCCATCGATATCCCACCGCTTCTGTATCTTGAAAGTTCTTGGGAGCTTTTCGAACTCGAACTTTGTTTAACTTCTAACGAAGTAGAGTTGTCGAATATAAATAGATTACATTTTTAACATTTTTAAAAATTTCAAAATTCTTTTATTTTAAATTTAAAATGAATTTATACAATAAGCTGACTTAAAAGAACTAATTATTTAAAAAAACATGTTAAATACTTATTTTTGAATTCCAAATTCTTCTACACGCTGTGCAGTTGCAATATTTTTGACATTTCTAGGATGGTACATGTCGCCACGGTCATAATAACCTCCGAAATGTTCTCCAGGTACATGATAAAGTCCATAATGTATGCCACTATTAGCAACCTGTTAAATTTAATTTCTAAATTTCACATTCTGTTTTGGTGATTTAATAGATGTTACCCTTTTTAGACCATTAATTGATGCGAGAAGTAATGCCATTTTAGCTAGGAGTAACGCTTTTCCACTAACAACCGAAAGCAACTGAAACCCCATTGGCACAAGCACTGCACCTAGAGCGGTCACACCAAATATCATTGTTATTATCATATTGTATCTATGTCGACGATAACGTGCAGTTCCCACATAATCAGATTTATTTGTAATACCTTGAGGTGAAACAAATTGAATAAAAAAAAATTATATTTATATATGGCAGGTATTTCAATGTACCACCTGCTTCAAAATTATTAGTGTACGTGTTCGTGAGTTTTCCTAAGTTTATCTGAAGCACATGCGAATTAAAAATTTGTTTCAGTTTAGCTGCCATATGATCAAACCAAGTTTTATTCCTTGAGTCCGAGTATTGAAAGTCTTTGACACAGGTTTGCCTTATATATGTATACATATAAAAAAACAATTTTAAAATTTAAATTATCTTTTGTTGAAATTTAAATTGTCAATGTAATGCTATTTACTTTCCAATCCATTTATCAACAACTGAACACTGGACAAATTTTATCCCAGTCCAAATTGGGAACACTGGTATAGCATTTAACTTATCAAGAATAAATAGACTGCTCCTTTTTACACAACTCCATATTGATTCTTGTTTTCTCTGCATAATTTATATAGTAATGTTATTCATATTTAAAATATACGTGATAAAATATATATATATATATATATGTATATGAAAATATACCCCAACACAGCTCTTTACTTCTAATTGTAAAAAATTAATAAAAGTGTGCAAAGAATCATATTTTTCACTTTTCAACATTGATTCTTTATATTTTGCTACATCTTTTGATAGTTTTATAGTGTCACTTCCATAAACTGTTATTTGGCACTCTGAGAGGGCCATTAAAAAAATCAAAATTTTACACATATTTTTAATCATAGTTATAGCAACAGAACTTTTATTGTAGTTTTATCGTTCGTTATATTCTAGTCAACGTTCTCTCAATTGCACTTTTCGACTAAAAATAATTTGAAGTCGACCTCGTGGTATTTATATGGGGAATGAAGCACAGCACGCATCCATGAGTATCAAATTCACTGTTAGAGGCAATAATTATAATATTTATAAATTGTATACCTACACTAGGTCAACTTTATTTCAATTGCGAATAAGTTTGAGAATCGCTCTTCTGAACTTGAAGTTTGTTATGCTTGGGCACACTTTTCCTAAATGTTGTACTGTAAACTAAGCAGAACTGCTTTTTATTGCTGTTCCACTAATGACTTCGAAATAGAGATCACATAAAGCATTTTCAAATGACTCGAATTGATTTCTGAATGATTTTGATTTTTCACTTATCCGTACCACTATTTCGCATTTCCTATTTATTTATTTATTTATTATAATTAATTACAAAATATAAAATCTTATAACTTAGATAAGAAAAAAAAAGAAGCGCTAGCTGCCAGGGCCTTCAGCTCGGATATTATAAATTAAATTTTATTTACTAGGTTACAGGCTTTAGTATATTTATACAATAAAAGTATATTTTCAACAGTAATTGTTTTTAATAGGCTGGTAGTTAAGATATTAGGAAAGATATTACTACGAATAGAATTAAAAGAAGGGCAATCGTTAAGTATATGAACTATGGATGGTGTGCTATTACAGAATGGAGAGTTTGATGGCTGTTTGCCACTCAAAAGATGTTCATGAAAAAGCTTTGAATGTCCCATTCGCAATCGGGTAAAATTCTAACATTGTTGACGAGTGCATAATAGTGGATATATAGCTTTTAAACCACTAGTATTGATCGATTTGTAGCGATGGTTGTACTCTGGCCATTCCATAGCCCATTCGTCTTCCATATGTTTTTTTAAAAATTTTTAAATGTCTTTTCTTTCGGATGTCTTGAATAAGAACAAGGGAGAGCGAATGGCGGCAGAGGCAGCATGATCTGCTAGTTCGTTTCCTTTAATTCTTGCGTGTCCAGGAACCCACATGATTTTAATTTTGTTTGAAAAACGTATGCAGTTGTTTCTGATAGCACAAATAAGTTCGGTGTTATACTTGATATTTTTTACAGCTTCAATTGTAGATTTACTGTCGGTACATATCAGAAATTTGCCTTTGGTGCATGTTGTGTGGTCAGTAGCAAGTTTTATAGCCAGAGCCTCTGCAGTAAAGATGGAACAATGTGGTGCAACTAATCCAGTCGTGATAATGGAGCCATTTTGTTGTGTTATAGGAAATGTGACATTATTATCAGTTTTTGAATCGTCTATGTACAATAGAGTCCAATTGTTTTTTATATAGCAATCAGAAAATTCTGCAAACAGTTGTCTATACATTTTGGTGGTTGTGTTACTTTTTTCATAGGTTTGCAGGTCGGTTACAAAAGATGTAGGATTGAGAAACCAAGGGGGTTCATGATTTTGTATCATACGATGAGGTTTAATGTTGAGGTCGAACAATTTAGCATATTCAATACACCGCACAATTGTCGATTTAACTTTATTTGTTCGCTTTTGATTGAATACATTTACAACGTCTTTATGTAAAATAGCGTTGTCGCTGCACAGTAGTTTCGGAATAAGGCTATAAGTTGTTGATTTAACTCGATTTGATATTGTAGGTAGCCCAGCTTCTGTCAATAAGTTTTTGGTTGGAGTTGTCGGGAACGCAGCAATACTTCTTCGAACGGCAGCATGATAGGGTGCGTTCAACTATCTAATATTGCTGTTTGCACACCATCCAAAGAGTGGTAGAGCATAATCTAATTTAGAAAGTATAAGTGATTTAATGATATTAATCAAAGTTGATACATAAATAAAAGAATGTTTAGATGATAGGTATTTAATAATGTTTAACCTGGCAGCTAGGTTTTTTCTTTATTCTAGACATTGTTGCTTAAAGTTAAGTTTGTTGTCAAACACTATACCTAATATTTTTAAATAATTAACAACTTCGATATTTACGGCATTGTAGCTTAAGTTTAGTTGATTACAATTCTTTTTTTTACAAATGTGCATAATTTTACATTTATTTAAGGCAAGATTAGCACCGGAAAATTTACTCTATTCTTTTATGTCATTTAATATCTCAGTGAAGATTACTTGAACTATAGATATGTCCTTAACTTTGGAGAATATCATTGCATCATCAGCGTATATAGCATGTTTAACTCTATTGTATTTCAGTATTATTTTACTTAATGGATCAAAAGCTATTATAAATAAAATTATTGATAATTTAGATCCTTGTGGAATCCCATTATGCAGAGCAAAGATATTGGAGCGAGTGGAAGTAATCCTAATACAAAAAGGTTAGTCAAAAGGCGATTAGTCAAAAAGGCTTTAACAAAATTAAAGATCTTTTGACCAACTTTCCAAATAGCAAGCTGCATAAGCACAACGTGTACTCCGATACGATCAAATGCTTTTTCAAAATCTGTAGCTAAGATGGTTACATGATTTTTACTAGAAAGAGCAGAAGACGATTTGATTTTTCCTAAAGGCGACTTGAATAGGACTAATTAGGTTATTTTTAGTTAAATACCACAATATTCCTTTAGCAATCATTTTTTCTAGAATTTTACCCATGCACGGCAGAAGTGAAATTGGGCGATAGTTACTAGTTTCAGAGCTAGATGTTTTTGATTTGGGTATAGGAATAACTTCAGCAGTACACCAACTTTGTGGATAAATACTTTTCTCAAAAATGTTATTGTATAATTCGATTAATCTATATATTAGGATTGTTGGAAGATTAAGTAACATGGGGTATGATAACACACTAGTTTAACTGCGTCTTAGTTATGCAACTACCGATTTAATGCAGATATATAATAATACGTGTAAGGTAAAAAATGCTTAAGCGCGAGTTGAAAGAAAAAATGTAAGAAAAAAAAGCGTAAACAAAAGAGAGCACACAAAAAACAAGTCTGATCACTATAAGTACAAGTTAAAGACTGCGCATTTCCTATTTTTTATTTTCAATTAGTTTTTTATTAAAAACTCAAGAGTAACAATAACTTTTATTTTTGTCATTTATCATTTCTATAATATATTTAGGTAGGTCATTGCATTTAAATATATTACATACATTTTCTAAGTTTTATATCTACAATTCTTTAATAAAACAATGATATAATGTGTCTTCATTTACACTACTTATACGACAGGTATTTTCGGTTTTTTCTAAGGAACGGTGGTAATATCAGTGCAAAATTATCATTAAATATGGACATGATTTTTTTGTTACAAATTTATTAATTTTTATTTAATACACATTTTTCGATATATAATATTTCATAAAGTTTACATAATAATTCTATTGTTTATCAAAGTTAAAATTTTTACTGTACATTTTTTAAATTTTTTATAACATTTAAGAGTTTTCTTTTAAAATTTTTACATAATTTACGCTGGCAAAATACATGGTAAATAAAATGAATCTACTTTAAACTATTTTAACTAAGTTGATACTGAAACATAATAGCTATCATCATGAGCCTGTCTGAGAAATTGGGGTTGTTGGAATTGGGCAACCAAATCTTGGAAGAAACAGTCCAAATTTTGATTCTATTCCATTGAGCATAGGAACAGCCGCACGATAACCGCCGATATGATCAACATTCATGCTGTGAATGAGTGGTATATCAACAGGTTTAGATTTGAGTATTTCAGATCCGGCAGGTTGTTTTCCTCCAAAATCAACATAAAACATACGTTGAAGTAATTCATAAGTAACTAATGTTACACCAAATTGTGGTGATGAACGAAATACACGTGCTATAAAATTAAGAATCAAATATAGTCTACATAGAAATAGATTTAATTTTTTTTAAGGTAAAAGAAAACATACCAGCCGTTCCTTTCCAAAATGCCCTAGGACCTTCCTCACTCATAATTTTTTTAGTTGCATCCCATACCCCTGAGTATGTAGTTTGTCCAGTTCTAGCGACTACTTGTAAACGAGTTTTAATAACATCAGCTGGGGTAACAAGTGATGCCGCTGGTACGCCGGCAATAGCACCTGCGGCTAATAACGTAAGTGGATGATTATATCTATAAAAAATTACATTTTAAATCTTATATGATTGATTGATGGATGATATAACTAACCCATCCTCGTCCGCAAATAGTGATTTTGTATGGGCATAAGTTGGAAAATAAATGGCAGAAAATGGAACATCTCGCAATAAACATGCTCGAGCCCCTTTATACAAACCAAAAAGCCCTAAATCTCGCACAACTGATAATGCACGTACTTTTGCTCCACCTGCGATTTCACCAGCTACTTGTAACCTTATTTTAACAATTTCTAGAGGATTGGTGAAAACAACTTGTGATGCTCCAGCCTGAAAAAATATTACACTGGTTGCATTTTATTAATTTAAAATTAATAAAAATATTTTGAAAAAATAATCAAAGATAAATATAATTATTAATCTGAATTTAAGATGCAATATAATCATTAGAAATTTCATCTTACCGAGTGAATCCTTTACTGCTAACTTTATTATAAATTTATTTTCTTGTTTTTTTGTTTTTAGTTTTTAGTTTTTTTGGGCATATCACATGATCTTTAATACTGAAAAGGATTTATTGCTTTTTTAGAAATTTAAATACTGATTTATTTTAAATCAAAACATTCTGTACTTCACATTTCTAAAAATTTTAGTTGGATCTTATAACATCTTGATTAATTGATTAGGGAAATTTCTTAATACCTACATTAACTCTTAGGTATAATATACAAGTATTACACTTACGCAACCGCCAGCAAAAATTTCAGCATAAACTGAAATTAAGCCTTGTTTGTCAGTAAATTTATCACGTACGAAATCATTAACAGTAAGTTTAATAGCTTTTTCTGGCGCAACACCCATCAATTGAGGTAGTAAACCTCTATATAGACCTAAAACACCTTCGTGACGTACAACCTATACAATTAATTATTAATTTTATTAAAGATTTCTATTAACATAAAAATGCGTAAAGTATATTGAAGCAAACCTTTTTAAAACAATCCCAGGAATTTCTATAAGCTATTTCGCCTATAAATGAGCCCGTACGTTGATTCTGCATTCGTGTTTTTACCAAGTCAATCGGATATACTACAGTGGCACCCACGGCTAACAACATTTGAAATACATTTTAAATGAAAACATTTGCTGATAAACACATTATTAAAATTTACCTACCTCCAGCGAAAGAACCAAGAGTAAAGCGATAAGTGCTTTCTAATATTTGTATAAATGCTGAACGGTCAGCAGGGCTCTCGACTGCTTTAATTTCCGCCAGGCGTGTTGTGATATGTTTTGTATAATGTTCGGGTGCTATATTGTTAAGGTCACTGTATACAATACGTCTAATGAAATGAAAAAAATAAGGATTAAGTAACAGGACTTAAAAACAAAAATTTTAAAACATATAAAAGCTTTATATATTTTTTTATGATATAAGCCAATCAAACTAATAAAGAATTGTTTGTATCTAATGAAGGAAGTTAAGATAGAATATAAAACGTTATTAAGGTACTGAGTTTTATTAACAATTAACTTGCCTATTTGAATTTATTTTTTTGCGTCTCCACCAACTAAGTTGGGAGCGTTTAAATTTTTACGAAACATAGTGAAATATTTATATACAAAGAAAAAATACAAACACAAGATAAATATTTATTAGTAAAATTTATTTGTAAATTGTGCAAATATATTTAAATTAGTTTTGAGCGAAAATTGATATAGCTTAATTTAGATTTTTCAAATAAACTTTAGCGTTCTTAGGTATACTGAAACCAATTAAATGAATTACTAATCTAAGATAAAGAAGGATGTCTTATACTCATTCGTAAGCTTGAAAATATTTTTTTTGTACAATCAATGATATATAAAATATTGAGATATACGATTATTGAATGTTTCTTATACCTTAATATTGCGTATATGATTGGTTATTATTTTATGAATATTTCTTAAACATAAACCACCATTCTCAATTTTATAATCATAATAATAATAATAATATATATCACTAAATGTTGATCTTTTTAAAACTGGTTTATTTAGATTATATAAGGAATTATGATTTCAATAAATTAATTATTCTTACCCAGACTGATGTAATGCTCCCGTCAATTGAAATAAAATATCTATTTCCAAGGGTGTAATTTGACTCATTGTTTGTGCGGCATAAAGAAGCTCATCTTTAGTGACAGGCTCGGTTCGACTCCCTTGAGTAGCATGCAGATAGATACGTTTAATCAATTCCATATTATTAAGTAATGATGTAAATGCCATAAAATACGGGAAGCTTACTTTGTGACCTTCCGTTACCTAACGCAATATATATATATTTATATAGTTAATAATAGAATAAAACATTTACCGCAACTAAATTGTCCTTAACTTCAGCGGTGAGTAAATGCTTTTTCACTTTGATCATGATGTCTTGGAAATCAAGTGGAGATATGTATCCAGAACCAGCTGGATCTTTACTTCGGAACGCTTCCATTGCATATTCTTCATGAAAATCATGCAGTAGTTGAGTAAATTCGGCATAGTTAATAAGACGTTGCTTTTTCTTAATATGCAAATAAAAGGTTAGGTAGTTTTATGAAACATCTTAATAATAAAGAATTACCTCTCCAAAATAACGTTTAATGAATGGACTATCTAAGCTAAAAGGAACTTTAGAGTGTAGTTCAGTTTTTTGAACAACATCAGCAAAGTCATCTAATTAAAATATAACATTATTTTTCATAATTACATATAACAAAATTAAGTATCCAAAATAATTTATAATGTTATAATAAATGTATAAATAATAAATGATTAAATAAATATATTTACCATATGAAACTGTGCCATTTCCCTGGCGATCAAATAACTGAAAAGCAGTTTTATAAAGAGCATCTGGAGTGCAAAGTAGTCCTTCGAAAGCTTGAAACTCTGAAAATGAAATGAGACCATCTTTGCTAGTGTCAGCAATACCAGCTAATAGGCGAACTGACTCCTTCAATAAAACAAATATTATTTATATTATGTTCAAATATTAAAATTTGAAATAATTGAATAAATTTCTTAAACATGTAAATAAGTTCTATATTAACAACAATTTATTAAACAAAATATAACTAAATTCATAATTACTTTACTCTCACGAAGTTAAAGTATAACTTTCTAATTTTGTACAAAGGTCAAGTTAAGAGTTCAAAGATTTAAAAATTTTTGGATTTTGATATAATTATATTAATAGCACATATATGTATATAAATGTGTCTTATATACTTAAGCTTCCATAAAAACTTATTTAAAGTTTTAAGTTTTATCAAAAATATTGCTTATAAATGATTAATAATACATTTATATAAACAGTTTTATTTAGTTGTTAATAGTTGTCAGGTTGTTGATATGAATAGTTATTTAAATATTAAATTCGAGTATAAACATATTTTGTACGTACATCGTTAAATGCAACATCTGAAAACAGTCCCAAGTATTTTCGAACAAAATCTTCACTTGTCATGTATTGTTCACCATTCTTCTGCAACGATGCGTATTTTACGAATACTTCTCGCAATTTGTCAGTACTGGCACGCTTTAAATATGAGGAACTCTGTAATTAAAAAATAAAGTGAGTTTATATTAAAAGTAAAGATTTATACAAATCATATTCAACACATACTGATTGCATATTTTTATATGGCATTGTCGTTTAATGTCAAGGAACGTTATGCAAAATATGGAAGAAATGCTAAATTCTAAATACTGCCCCACAATCAGAAACCACGACACTTAAAAGCAAAATAACACGCCGGCAAAAAATCAACTAAAATCTCTCACTCAAATTGATAATTAAATGTATATACATATATACATATATCTCCATTATTTCCTATCTGAAACTCAAAACTTAAGTAAGAGTATGTTCTCTTGGGCATAACTTTTTAAAGTAACCAGAACTCAAAACCTTGATATTATTCTTTATATTGAATAGCACTTTAAGGTATTAATAATACCTTAATAACGAATAAGTATCTATTAGAAAGTACAAAATCCCTAAGCTGACGCAATAAAATCAAAGAGTTACGCTCAATAACGCGAAATACATTTTGTTTGCTGGTTTATCATTCAAAGCGATTGCACTCGACTGCGTTTGAGTTGAAAAACTTAATTAACTATTTTAAGGTTAATTTGAAAGACCTGCAAATGCAATTTATTATGCTTTAGCGGATTTCAGAATATAATTTTTTGAACAGTTAAGTTTATATAATTATATTTTCAGATATTTGATTTGGGGGATTGTAATTAGTTTTTGTTTACTTTATACTAGTTTTACTAGTGTTAAGTCCATAAATATGGTCACATCATTTCTAAGAGCGGACAGCACAAATCAAAATAACATTCACTCATTCCGGTATCTAAAGTACCACTCAACTTTCTGAATTGACGGAATGTGAGCACGGTTGAGACAATATCAATAGCATAAATTTTATTTTTCGTGAACTACTTTATTTGATATTTTAATAAAACCTTTTGTGCCCTACAAAACAAACTATTAAATTTTACTCACTGGAGAAATCATTATTTCTATTACATTTGTTGCCGGCCTTTCGTTTAAAATTTAAACAAAAGGTATATATTTAAAGTATATATGAAAAAGTATATATACACATAGCCAATAAACTCTGCGTACACCTTACGAATTTTGATATGTGATAAAGAAACATAACATAAATAAATATTTTTAATTAAAATTTTTACATATATTTATTCTTTGAATTATTGAGTTTAAATAGCAAAAGACAAAAATTGTATTCGACTATTTATTCCAGAGATAACGGGATAAAAGTGTGCCTGCATGCAAAAATAGGCCCCATAAAGTCTGCGTACAGTTTGTTTGTTTAGAAACTACCGTTAATTTTTAAGCAGTTTGTTCTTATTTTTGCTCATTTGGTATTATTTAACATTTGAATTGAACATTTACCGATCTCAGTGATCAATTAATTCTTTAGTAGTAACTATTTTAAAGTATGGAATCAAGGGGAAAAGAAATTAGTGTGTACGAAAGAAAAATAATTATTAAACTATGGAAAGATGGAAAAAGTTTCCGAAAAATTGGTGAAACTATTGGAAGAACGCATTCATCAATCCAGCGCGTAGTGGACAACTTCAAAAAAACCGGAATTTTAACATCTAAACCGCGTCCTGGGCGTCCAAAAGTTTTATCAGTCCGAGAAGAACGAAAAATAGTCCATATGATTAAGATGAACCCTTTCATTTCTTCTTCGAAAATTGTGAAATATATAACACAATCATTTAAAAAAAGTATTTGTGCAGAGACTGCTAGGAAAGTATTACATAAAGCTGGATATCATGGTAGAGTCGCTAGAAAGAAACCATATATTTCACTTGTAAACAGGCAAAAGCGCGTTGAATTTGCAAAGAAATACATAAATAAACCTCCGGAGTTCTGGAAACAAGTGATATTTTCAGACGAAAGCAAGTTCTGCATCTTTGGTATAAAAGGTCGTCAAATTGTGTGGCGGAAATCAGGAGCGGCGTTTGAGAAACAAAATCTTGTTGGTACAATCAAACACGGCGGTGGAGGAGTTATGGTATGGGGTTGCATGGCGGCTGGTGGTGTAGGCCAGTTGGAATTTATAGAATCGACAATGAATAAATGGGGCTATTTAAACATTTTAAAAAAAAATTGAAAACAAAGCGCAGATAATTTGGGCTTATCCACGACTTTTTGGTTCCAACAGGACAATGACCCAAAACACACAGCGGAGATTGTTAGACTTTGGCTTTTGTACAACGTTCCAAGACAGCTTAAAACACCTCCACAATCACCTGATCTCAATCCTATTGAGCATCTTTGGGATTTATTGGAAAAAAGAATTCGTCAGCATGTGATAACAAGTAAAGAGTCTTTGCGGAGTACAATGCAAGCAGAATGGGCGAAAATTACTGCTGAAGAAACTCAGAAATTGGTTAATTCCATGCCAAATAGATTAAGTGAAGTTCTAAAACAGCGTGGTTACCCAACAAAGTTCTAATTTAATAAAATTTATAATAAAATTTAACTTTATTTTTATTATTTTTACCGATTTTATCAGTTTTTTTATAACTGTACGCAGACTTTATGGGGACTATTTTTACATGCAGGCACACTTTTATCCCGTTATCTCTGGAATAAATAGTCGAATACAATTTTTGTGTTTTGCTATTTAAACTTAATAATTCAAAGAATAAATATATGTAAAAATTTTAATTAAAAATATTTATTTATGTTATGTTTCTTTATCACATATCAAAATTCGTAAGGTGTACGCAGAGTTTATTGGCTATGTGTATACTTCAGCAAATAATCATTCGAAATGTATCTTTTGAAGCCAACGATATTTGTGTAGAGATTTGACCTCTCATAGTTTCGGAATTTTAATAAGAAAAGATGTGAAACCTTTGTAAGATAATTCTACCTAAGTTGTAAATACTTATAAATTGATTTAATGTACAATATACTATATAAAATTTTAGCATAAATAATTCCTTCGTAAGATGTGGGGAACTTTAATATAAAGTAGACAAAAAGCATTACAATACAATTAAATGCGTAAAGAAAAATATCAGTTAAATAAAATATCTCTAACAAACAGCATTTGTTAGTTTGCGTGAGTCTGACCACCATCTTCCCTTATTTTAGATAGATGTACACATGTTAACATTTGGATTTTTTGGCCCATTTACAAATAAGTACAAATAAATTTAGTATCAATTAAATACATAAAAATGCTGACGCAACAATGTTATCGCTATTTTAATAAGATAGTCTAGAGCAGGGTTGTCCAAAGCACTGCCCGCGGTTAGTGTTTGTGCAGCCAGCGATATTTTTTAATCTACAACAATTACGCAAAAAACTGCATTATATTATTTTTATGATGTACCAAATAAATAAATTTAAATTAATAAATTAATAAAACTAAATTTAACATAATAACCGTATTTTCATTTTTGTTGAAAACAACTAAGAACGTATGTATTTGTTTCTGCGGCCCTCCAATTCGAATAGTGATTTGTATTGGCCCGCGTTTGTATGTGGTCTGGACAGCCCTGATCTAGAGTAGCCTGTTGACTCACACACGACTTTATTTTTATAATACATGCATATATTGATACGTACAGTTGCACATCTATTAATGACTTTTGCCTTGGTAATATATGAATGCATTCGGAAAGTACGTAAATGATTATTTATAAGGTAGCATTCCCGGTCTAAAGACTATATATGACAAACACACACATATTTTTTTTGCAATGTAAACAAATTGTAAGTGAAATAACCATATTTTCGAAATAAAAATATATATTTAGGAGAATTGATAACAGTCCATTAATTATAAAGAATAAAATCAACGAAAACATGTTTACGTGCTTATTAAGAGCATTCAATAGGTTCTTCATGTTTATTTTAGAGATAAAAGAATTATTTCATAGATAAAGTTACACAATAAATTTGAAAATGATTGGCATCTATAAACATTTAAAACAAATGTTTAGCAGAGAATATGATATACTGATCTATTTTCTAAAAAACAAATATTGATTATGGTTTTTATCAATCTGTTACAAGAAGATCGATTATGTGGATATACATAACTGTTAGATTCATAGTTTTATAAGGTATGTCATGGAATAAATCCACGATTTTTAAAGATAGTGCCATGTTTTTTAAATATATATGTATAAAGAATTGAAGTGATTTTATATGTTTCGGAGTTTTATGAAGTTTTAAAATAGGTACATGTTTTGGAATAAGTTGTTTTATGTTCATTAACACAAATTCTAAAATTATAATGTACTGTTTTTGACATCTCATTACGTAGTAATCTTTTGAATAAGATTTTTTCTTTAGAAAAAAAATGTTTGTTGTTAGTATTAATGCATCTATATTGTAGGTGTTCTTAAATAAATTAACTATTTATGCATTAATTTAAATTAAATTAAATATCAAAGACACAATACTTTATTCTGGAATGTATAAATTGTATTAGTAATAATAGGAGCCAAAATTTTTTTTGAAGTTTTTTATAAACATTAGAACACACTAAAGTAACATCCTTTTTGTATATTTTTGATCTGACGTACAAGCAGTAAAACAGAAAAATTTGAGCATTTGTTGCAAGAAAAATTCAATTGCGGCACATCCGCAGCAAGGACTTTTTCAGAAATACTTGGACTAGACTAGACTACACAAAGAGAAAGAAAAGTCAAGCATAAACGCCAATGAAAGTAATATCTGGAATTGACAAGCTAACTGAAAAAGTCATCAAAAATGCAATTTCTTAAAATTTGCAGTTTTGTGAATTTTTGTAAATTGAAATAGATTAATTCCTACTTTTACATTTTACAGCGAAGGTTAATGTACTCGTTTGCTGGCATTTGCCAGCAAAACTCCGAAATAAAAATCTATTAAGGCCTTTCACTAACATTAGCTAATAGATCTTTTGATTTTATGAAACATGCACAATCTACACTGAAATTTAGGAAACTAATAATTTTATGTAAACAATTTTTAACATTTTTCGGTGTATAGAATTCGGAACTTTTAAGTAATAGAACTTATTATAATTTTAACAAATAATATATTAGTTATTCATCTCACAATATCTGCCATTTGAAATATGCAACAATAAGTATAAAAAACTTCAAATATTTGATTCTTAGATTAGTTTTATTTTTTGAAAATCGCATTTATCTTAAAGATCTTTGTTAACAGTTGAAACACCCAGTTTATTCTGTGCTCCAGCTTTTATATCAGCAGAGTGTAAACAAAAACTCAACAAGTACAAGTTATGCAATGCCAGGGCTAATTATTTTAAAAATTTTGAGCGCACTATTATGCGTTATTTTAAACAATCATTTCAAGAACCTTGGAATGTCTATCCTCTGAATATATTTTATTTACCTATTTAAAAAAAAGGCACATAATATTAATTAATAGTAATGAACCTAAGCGACAATGATTTTCCAAAGTCATATAATTTTGTAGTCGCTCTGTCATTTATATGTATGTGCATGAAATATACTCGCCTCTTTATTTATGGATATATATGTATATAACCTCTAGACATAAGCTGAAGCGAAAACACATTTTGTATATTGAATAGCTTTTTATCTACGTATTGAGATTTTTCTTAGTGACAATAATGGTTTGTTTTGTAATCAATTCTAATACATTACACATACCTCTTTTAGTTCGGATTCTGGCATTTTGCTGGCAGTTTTATGAAGCCCTTGAATATATGTAGTTAATATGTAAAAATGAAAAATAGAACACACACAATAAAAATTTTCAAATCAAATAAATTTCAAATCCAATATTTAAAAAGTTATATTTAAATGGAATTTTATTGTACGTAAGTTTATTCAAAGCCCGAGAGTTTATTAAATTTTTGTTCTATCTCAGTTTTGAGTAAGTGCCTCACTAAGATCTAGTTTCATTACTTCTCGAATAAATATTGCTAATACATATGACAATACTCTCATTAGTATACTTAAATAAATAAATTTTCATAACAGCATAATACATATATTTATTAAATATTTATTTAACACCCACGTTTAAAAATTATGAAAGAAATTATTCACACCCGAGATTGACGGACGTTTCGTTTTAGGCGCGCGATTTTCACATTCTAACAGAGAAAAAGCTTTTCACATCATCGGAACTTGTTCATTGCATTTTCTCCTTTCAGCTGATATTAATTTTTCGTTATAATTTTTTGTTTTATTATAATTTGCAAATCTAAGAGATACGTAAAGTTTTTTTATAGTTTACACTGTAAACAATAATTGCCACAAACTAAAGGCATATATGTTTTGGTGCAAAAAAATCCAAACTATTTTCTTTCTGGAACAATTTATAATAGTATTTTAAAATATTCAAATTTTCGAACTAGTCGAAGGCAAATCTATTTTATCTTTCATTTTATATATATTCTTATATAAATACGTATAAATATGGTAAGCAAATGTTTGAACACCGTATGGTGTTCCGTTTAATGTTACTTTTATTCGTATTGTTCTATAGGGTCAAACATAATATGGTGTTCGAACATTTGTGCCTGAGCCGATCCAAGTAATCAAACAAAAAAATACTGGAAGATCATTTGGTGCCTGATTGCAACAGCTTAAATTGAATGATGCTTTACTTTATATACATGTCAGTAAAAAAATATATATTATATATGAACATATAGATCATTTAAATAAATATTTTAATTGTTACAGATTTCACTTTTTGAAAATATTTTGTCCAGTGTATCAATGAAACCAAAGATTGCTTGTATAACTCCATATAATTATCATCGTATTCAGAAAAAATATACAAATAATCGGAACGTCTTTGCACCCTATTTTCAGAATTTAGAGTTTATATATTACATTTATAAATGTAGTGTTTGTTACGTTTGCTCTTCTGATTTATTATAATCATAGTGCTATTATGCATGTCTATATTTTGTAAAATTCATATCTATATAATAAATATGAATTTATTTTTGTTGTTAAGCGTATCACTTAAAAAATGCTGGACCAAGTTAGTTAATATTTTTTCGAAAATATTAGTTAAAGTTCGAATGAGAAACTATTTTTTCGATCTGCATATTTATACTATGTATTCTTTATATAGAGAAACAGAACAATAATGTAATACAATAAATTACAAAAATTTACCCAAAATGAACTTATCAGTATTATTTTTATTTCGCTGGAAATTAGATTTTTTATTTTATAAGGTAGCATTAAATGTCATAAACTTTCTACTTTACGTTTTGCCCAAGTGTTTAGCTTTATCTAGTTGAGTACATTTCACACTTGACAATGAAAATGTTTGCTATAGAATGATTTGTGTCATAGACTGGAAATTTGCTCTCAGTACATGTATAATATATACAAAAATAACACAAGTGCAATCTTATTTTGTTTTTTAACTTGAATTTATTTATATGACATCGTTTTAAAAAAATTCAAGAATTTTAAAGGAACATCAGAATCTGAGAAATAAGAATAAATGGATTATTTAGATAATAGAGATAAAATAATTATAAAATATATCAAACTAAGTAAAAAATAAGATACGCATAAGTTTATTAAATAAACTGGAAGAATTTTTATAAACTTTACAATATTAATTTTAATTACAAATTTTAATGGAAATTCATAAGAACAAAAAATAAATTAGTGAATAGCAGAAGAGACTAGCAAAAGTATTGATTGACAAAGTAATTATATCGTTTTCGCTAATACTTTAGTTAAAAACTTTATAATAATCAAAGTAATTTATAAAAAAAGTAAACATTATTCAGCGTTTTTTATTTTAAAGAATATTTTATTTATATTTCGAACTGCATGCAAATGACAAAATAAATAGATAAGTTGATGTTTACGCACGATATTGGAATCAAGACAAAATTAGTTTTTGTATATTTAAATCTTATATATTGGATTATGTCACATATTCGTATAAAAACTAGTACACATTAAATTTTTAAACTTTATTCCTGCTAAAAATATGGAATTTGTTTTCATGCTATTAGCAACGATTTTGCGCGTGTTTACTTATACACCGAATGCTGGTAGGTAGACTTAAGGGTATCACTATATATATAAGCATTCATAAATAGATGAAGCTATTACTCAACTGCTGTTTTAACAAGTCAAGGTTAAAGAAATGTCATTTACTGTAGCCAATAAAATTACAAATAAACAAAAGGACTTTTATGTCATGCAATCACTAAAATTTACTGTTAAAATTAAATAACTTGATTGAATATCAACAAAATTTTAAATTAACTTCTTTCTGAGATTGTATCTAGGCAAGTATTTAATTAATGAAAAAAGAACAAATCCATTGCCATAGATTTTTTAGTGATAAAATGGAAACGCAGTAACATGTGTTTTAGCCATTAGATTATCGCATTTACTTACTACTTGAATAAGGAAGGAATAATTACTTACAAATTAATTATATTACATAAAAAAATTCTCAACATTTTTTGGTATAATTCTTTTTCTTAAAAATATCAATAAAAAACATTCCTGTTGGGCGGTGAGAACTTACATCATGGCATTGTACTCGCTTAATAATCCATTCAATTATAGAAAATATGTTCATTATAACAATGACTGATGTTTAAATTATTATATTATATTATTTTCAGATCTTACACAGCTATTTATAGAATATATATAGAAGTAGCATTGACTTCTTAATTATAACATTAATAGCACTTGGCGTATATAAACAAAAAACATTTACGATTTACATTTACAGTTCTAGAAGCGCACGCCTTCAATATAATATGTACATTTATTAATGACAATTTTTGGATTCTTTACTCCGTTTTTTTTTTAGTTCGAGCCTAATATTGCTAATTTTTTATAATTTCTACAGCTTTCAATAGACCCCTGAGCCTCCGCAGCTGTGTAATCAAAACTAAATATTGATTGTGTTGCCAGATTGGACAAAATTGGCCAAAATACAAAATAAATATTTAACATATTTTCATGAATTTTTTTTGCGCAGAAGATTATTATACTTCGTATATTGTTTAAGATAAGACATAAAAATGTTCTGATTTTACCGATTCTTATATATAAAACTAAAACCATCAATTACACTTATTAAAAAAATATAATTTAATATTCTTTTATTCAGGCGGTTCTCTCTATATTAAAATATTACAATTACTAAGTAATGCAATTCAGATACTATTTAGTAATAAAAACAACTCTAAGAAATTATCGTCTTAAAAAATTGTTTTTATTTTCTATACATTTTGTTGTTGCATTTGAACAATTGAGCAGTAGATCTTAAATAATCTGGTACAAGAATATTTGTTGACATCGGCAATTGAGAATGGTGTACATCAGGACTGTTCAAAGCGCGGCCCATGGCTAATGTCTATGCGACCCACGACATGTACTTAATCTAAGACAATTACGCAATTTGGTTTATTGGTAAGACCACATTATTTTATTTTAATGGTATACTAAATAAATGAATTTAAATTAATAAATTAATAAAACTAAATTTAACATAATAACCGTATTTTCATTTTTGTTGAAAACAATTATGAACATATGTATTTGCTTCTGCGGCCCTCCAATCTGTACAGTGATTTGTATTGGCGAAAATCAGCGAAAGAAACAAAAACACATATAAGAAAATTGAAAAAAAAATATTTTTAACACTTAATATCATTTATGCGAGTATAAGTGACTGATTTATATATACATATGTACATAAATTTGGAGCTGCCGTGCAGATGTCGCTCTATGAGTAGCGCACTGATGTTAGTTCATCATCAATTGTCCTTCGCCATATTCTTGAAGGAGCGCCAGGCTCCTGCACGCCATGGCGTCCATCAAGCGAATTTCTTAAAATTTTTTCCAGAGCTACAATGGAGAACATCGGTAAAAGGAGACAGTCTTGACGAACTCCTGTACTCACGTCAAACATGTCAAACAGCACTCCGTCATGCAAAACTCTGCATTTAAACTTAATGTAGATGGACTTTATGTTAAATATTATTGGTGGCATGCCCCTTTGACGTAAAGCAGTCCATATGAAACGTCTGTTCAGACTATCAAAGGTTTTTTTAAGCTCTATAAATGCTGCACAAATAGAAGATCTAAATTCGTTACATTGTTCGAATACGATGTGGACAGTATTGATCACGTCGACAGAAGATCGATTTCGCCTAAAACCACAACTATTTTCTCGGAGAAGTTCTTCTGTGGCCGTCGAGATACGAGATAGTAAAATCGAAGTGAGTTTTTTTCTGGGCACGGGAAGTAGCATGATATCTCGGTCGTTGTTACAATTGGAACCATCACACTTCTTCGGAATCTTAACGAGCACACCGTCATTCCAAGAACACTTTCTTACTGCTTCGTTTTCTCAAACTTTGTGTAGAATAGTGAGCCATATAGAAGCTGTTAATTCTAGATCGCGCTTTTATAGTTCAGGATTGAGGTTGTCACTGCCTGGGGTCTTGTTAGTTTTGAGTAACGTTATGGCGGTCTTGTTGATCCTGTTCAGATCCTGTTGGTGGATCTGAATTGACATTATGAAAGTAATAAAAGTTGTTTGATGGAGAGTTAAGTTCTGCCTCTTCTTGTAACCCTAAGGGGTTAATCACCTCTTTAAAGTGTTCAGTCCATTTCTTAAGCTGCAGCTCTGAGTTGGAGAGAAGTTTACCGTTTTTATCTTTAATAGGTTTGTTTTTGTATTGACCTTTGTCGGAAAGAACACTTGTTGCAGCCTCAGCAATCTGTGCTTGATTTTCTGTCAATTCTCTTTTATCATGCCTGACCGACTTCCTTATTGATGTACAGAGTTGTTTATACATGCTTCGAAATTGCGGAAGTGTACCGCCTTTAGTATTTTCAATGTTAAGTATCACTTTCTTCTATCAGGAGCCAAGTTCTATCGACATCCAGACTTTTTTGGCTTTATTTTTACAACCCAGTGTATCTAAACTAACATTCTTGTATATTTGAGAATCGGTTTGGACTTGTGCGCTAATTTCATTCTCGAAAACGCTAGATTGGAATTTATTAGTAACGGCTTCTTTGTACCTGGCCCTAATCTCGTTATTATTCAGTCTTCCAACATTTATTATTTTATATGCCACTTATACAGCTTTCTTTAGCGCTAAGATTTTTATACGCAGTTTGCCAACCACCATATAATGATCACTGCCGATCTCAGCACCCCTTTTTACACGAACATCTAGCAGGGATGACCTAAAACAAGCATTAATTAAAATGTGCTTTACTTGGATCTTTGTTCTCCTGTCCGGAGAAACCTAAGTTGCTTTGTGTGATGTTTTGTGTGGGAAAAGGTAAGTCTATTTCCATTGTCATTTCGGGTGGCCAGCCAGTGACGCCTCATGTATTTTTCTAAATAGGTATACTCGCACCTATTTACTGCAATCTGTGCGTTAAAATCTCCTAGTACTAAGAGAATATCTCCTTTCGAAGAACACCTATTCATACATCTTTCAAGTTGATCATAGAAATTGTTTTTGCATTGTTCGTCTTAAAGTTCCGTGGGAGCATAGCAGTTTCGTGTTTAAGGACTATTATCCTTGAGCAGACTAGATGCCATTCTAATATCCCCTGAGCAATCCTTGAAGATATAAGGAAACCTACTCCATTTACATGATCAGATATTTCTGGTTGGCCTGAATAAATAAACAAATTATCTTTGTGTTTGATCGAGCCATTTCCATTCCACCTGCATTCTTGTATCGCCAAAGCGTCGATTTTATAGCGAGCCGTCTGCATATATTCAATGAAATTTAAATTATTAAGTTTAATATTTCTAATATGCGAGTAATATTCGGCTTAGTCGAAAAATATAAGAAAGTTGTATTAAACAACAAGTCCAAAACCACAAATCACACAAAATTCCGAACCTTTAATTCTAACATCTAATGTGTTCAATTTTGTATGACGGCAAAACTTAGTTAATAACAACTTTATTTGCAGGAAATTGGTGATTGTAGAACTCTAAAATAAATGAAAATTGCTTTTATTCACACCTATATTAAGTGCGGAAATGAAATTGGACAGGAGATTCTTGGTAAATTTTATTAAAGGTTTTATTTTAATAATACGTAAGCACTTCAATCATACACAATGACCTCCAAATTCCAATAATCAACGAAGAAATCAAAACTAGAAGTAGAAAATATCATTCAACAATCACTGCACATGAAAATTCCAATATTAGCTTACTCCCTCTAGTTGAGCTCACAAGACGTCGCAGATTTAAAATAACTCGTCCAGTGGACTTAATTTGATCTTAATTAAATTAATTTTATTATTAATATTTATAAATTTCATAGCTTTTATTAAAATCTACTCCACAACTAATATGACTCCCTGTTGCTGAATAGATATTTTAATCAACAAACTTTTCCTTAACTTAATTCAATTTTAAAATATACTTAATGTCTTCAATAATTTGAACAGATGTAGTATACTTGCTATGAAAAATAAATAAAAAAAAGTGCATGATTATTTTCTGTTTATAGTTTATAGTCAACATATATTTCATTGGTTTATCGATCTGACCTCCATGGATTTAAAAAAGCCACTGAAATTAGTCATTCTAAAAATCTAGTCGAACATATATTGAAATATGATCTCTGACAACATAAATTTAAAAAATTTTAAAAATTGTTATATTTTAGATTCATGATTTTTTTTCTAGAATTTGAATGCCATTGTGCCTTATTGGTTTTAATTAAAAGAATTAAATCTTATTAAAAAAATTATAATAATCATTTCAATAGGATGATTAATAAAATACAGATTATAAAATTTATTTCATATAGCAAATTTGAAAAATAAATACAATATACTATATAAATAAAAATGTACTATATATATAACTAATCATATATATATAATCTATATGAATATAAACTAATCTTTAAAATAAATAGTTTTGAAACTAATGTAAAACTCTGTTCTCTAAATTAAACTAGATATTAAGCCACGTTTCGGAAATCACAAGAATTAAAGTGTTTAAACTTAACATAAAATATAATGCATATTTTAAATAGAGCTCAAACTTTTATTAACATAAATTATAAAAGAGCTAGAGAAATTTTATAAATATTAAGTTAATATACACATAAAATATGTTATCTGTTTTTTAGTTTTGTTGTAAAGCTAACCATTTTTTAAAGCACTATCTTTTTATGTGCAAATCAACTGTAGTGTGTAATCATCTGTTTGTAGTTAAGCATAATTAAATTCATTGTTATTCTCTCTTCGGCAGTTGTTTTGCTGAACTTTTCAAACATTTCCAATCGGAAGGTTTTATCAATATAAAATCTTTTTTAACCTTTTTTTCTTTATGTAGATTAGTACACATCAGATAAATTCATTAAAGCATTGTTTTCAAATTTATACGAACAACTCCACATACTATCTACGAAGGTCGACAACTTCAATTTGTGTATGTGAATCAATTTGAATATGTTGTGCCTCCATAAACAATGGTGGATCATTGGGGTGTGGATGGAAACCTGTTTGTCGACATTGTGCGATATAATCGAGACCATAGTTTTGAGTTAAATTAAAGAAGCCAGTACTGCAATAATAGTATTAATATAATTTGATGAATTAATGTAATCAAAATGACATACGTTTGGTATTTAGGCGCACAAACAATTGCAATGGCTTCTGACATCATCATTTGGTAGGAGCAGTGAGTGTGCAAATCAACGGAAGATAGAAATGCTGTTTGACTAGGATGAGTCTATAACATAAAAATATCAATAATACACCATTTTTTTGTAATAATACAACTGTTTTTTCTTACATGAATCCAACCTAGAGTAATGAGATTTTTTTGATCTTGCACATCGAAAATTTCTTCTTCATGCATTGTGTTGCAACTGTCAGCAGTTCCTTGTTGCTTTGGTACAATAACGTGGGTAATATAAAATCGGTTCTGTTGCAAATGCCCTGCTAATATTCCACATGTTTCTACATTTTTTGACGTGTTACTTTGAGCTAAATGTAAAAACACTTCCATAGTATTTTGTGGTATGACTACAGATCGCAGTGAGCCCTCTAATAAGGAATCAGATCGACAATATTGTGGTTTTTGGCTCCGATCAATAATTGGTTTAGTACTTATACTAGAAATGATAAAAATTATAAAATAATTAAAACAAATACGCAGTTTTTAGACTATCATATTCATAATAAATAGTCAGCAATTTATCAAAAAATATATTGGTACCTTGATTTGAAGCTCTCTTTTTCTGTATCACCAACCAATAATAATCCAGAATTTGGTAAATGTGAACGACTGGAGCTGGTTGGAAAATCATTAGGGTATACAACCTGATCTAACAAATTCAAATCTGGGGCGCTCGGCTGAACTGTTGAATCAATTTGAACATGCAAATTAGCTGGAATGAAAGTAGCTGCTGCAGATATTTGTTTCTGACGCTCTCGATCACGCTCTCGTTCTAATTCCCGAGCTTTCTCAGCCTCTCGATGAGCCAGGAACTGTTCATACTCTCTTTGATAGTGGTCAAGAATTTTAGCACGTAGCTTTTCAGATGTTGGCATTACTTCTTCTTTAATACGCTTATTAATTGCTTTAATTTCAGATTTTATATTATGAAATTCTGGATGCATTCGTATTTTCTCAAGAAAAAGAGTCATATATTTCATGTAAAGTATATATGCATTTTCATGATTTCTTTCTGTTAAATAAACTTGTGCCATTCGTAACATTTCTGTACCGGAACGACAATATCTGCAATTGTACAATGAAAATAATCAAAGATAAGTGATTTAACTATAAATTAGTCATTATTTGATGTTGAAACACTACACAAATGTTCACATTAGACTATAATGGCACACAAATTATATTTTTATAAATCAACTGCAAAAATGACATAAATCTTTATTTTTTAACAAAAACCTTCAAACAAGTACATTTCAAGGCTAATTACTTTTAGATACATTTAAAATTAAATTGCTTTGATATATTAACATATCAACATTTTTACCGCTGTATAGAAATTGATGGATCAATCTCAATCATGTTTCCGTAATTCGATAATGTCCGTATCCTTATTTTTGGTTCGTACTCGGTCATGGAAATTTCATTGTGTTTTCCAATTCTCGACATCGTTTTGAAGTTTACCAATTATTTAGTAATCCAATTATGTTGCAGTTAAGAATTATACTTATCAAAGCATTTGATAAATATAATGTTTAAAAAATATAATACTTTAAACCTGAACAATTACTCAGAACATACAGCTGATCAAGTACAATAACGCAACAAAATTTACAAAAAAGCAGTGTAAAACAGAATAGAAACAAAAACAGTTTATATTCGCAGGGTTGCATTTTGAATAGAAAGTTAACAAATTTTTATACCAAATTGAATTTTCAAACATATGGTTCGAGAGTCTTTATTGTAAGATATATAATACTTATCTGACAGTTATTGATATCATATAAAAGTAAAAATTTATACATTCCAATTTTTAGTTTAGTGTTCGTTAATAATCTCTTTGTTATATAAAGAATTGTATAAAGTAGATAAGATCAGCTCACACAAGCATTTAAGTAACGAACATATAGTTGTTGAAGTAATTAAGTAGCTACTATTGTATCAACATTCCTTCTGAATATGCCACTAATAATATAATATGTGTATTAAAGTTCATAGTTCAGAAGGTAATTACTTATATGTGTTAAAAAACGAAATGAGTAATTTCGTGTAATGTAAGTGGATAATTTTGTAAGTGGTATTTTGTTTGTGATTTTATCTGTCAATTGTTGTTGCTTTCAATGTAAAATAAAAATTTTTGACAGACAAAACTCCCGTGTGAATGCACTATAATACTAAATTATAATTATACCATACAATATTTTTATATTGGTAATTTGCATTTCCAGAATATGGAAAACAAATCTTAATATGGTTGGAAGTGTTTCGTTATTAGTTATCAATTAAATTCTTTAGTGTAATCAGTGTGATAAACACTGAAATAGCTAATCAAAAAATACGTTTTTCATACCATTGAACTAACAAATAATGAAAATGATAAGTAGCTATGTAGATAATCGCCGATTATTACTTGTAAACTAAATTGCAAATTTGAATTAATTTTCTTAAGAATTCAGTACGTAACTTACCTCAGTTGGAATTTGAGACTCAAGAAAAATTTTGAATTAATTATAAATTATATGTAAGTATAATATTTCGGTTGGATTTATATGATATTTTACAAAAGTTTCATTAATACAGAATTAAATAAAAATAAATATATATAGTACACATCTCTTAATACTATTAAAGGTGCTCCACTATAAAAAAGACTTTTGAAATAAATTAAAAATGGTTAAACATTATCTATGTTATGAAAAATTTGTTAAATATTAGTTAAATATTAACAAATATTAAAAAATTTTAAACTCTCTCCTTGACTTCTTCATATCACTTACTTTTCTTAAATGAACGTTTCTCGTCACACTTTGCGATACTCTTAAATATGTTCAGAAACTCTTTATAATATGTTTGAGTTAGATTTTATTTTTAATTTTATACGTGCTTGAAACGAAAAAAATATACAATAATATTAAATAATTGTATCAATTGATATAACTATTTGCTCTTCATAAGTCTCCACTCAAATTCAAAATTCGAATCAGACACAAACGAGTGCCAACTTGGCCGCGAAACGGTTGCATTTTTAAATTTCGGCTTTTTCTTTACAATATATAATGTAAATGCGAATTTTAAATTCATTGTAAATAAAAAACGAAAAAATTATGAAATTTAAAAGACTCGTACGGCAGTGTCCGCAGCGAACGCAAATTGGAACGATCAACGCATTGGTTTTGTAGGTGATAATGTCAAAATGAAGCGCGAAATCAATTAAGCTAATTAGTGTGTGATTTACACAAACTTAAGCAGTGATAATGAAAACATTTTAGAAATTTTATTTGAATTATATTATTTGCATTTGCTGTTACATCGTGTTTATGTTTTGGAAAAGCACTGCCGATTTGCGTGCGATAAACTGAACACAGAATGTTTTTATATTCAGGCAAATTTTTTTTAATTCGCGTAAAATTTAATTAGTTTAATATTGCAAATCAGAAAATTGTATTTGTGTATTTGTGAATTCCACAAAATTGTTCAAATTGCAGTTGAACTTAAAACGTCCACTTAGTTCGTAAAAAATACAATTCAGACGCGCGAAATCAAAAAAGGTAAAATAATAAATTGTCTTTACATAATATCTGCCGCATTCCATGTGAGTCGTTTAAGCTGCTGTAGTTCAGCGAAGATCATTGAGTTATTGTCGTTATCAAAATTACGCTAATGAATATGTGCCAGTAGTTTAGATATTGAAAATCCAATCAAGTATACAATGAATCTGTAAATTTGCTCAATTGAGAAAAGAGCGTCTATAAGGTAAATGTTTCGAACGGATACTTCAATTATTTCTGCAGTGTACGGTCACGTTCGGGGTACAAGTACAGTGTTTCGCCCGTTTTTTTAATGTCTAGTTTCATGTAAGAGGAAAATATATTTAATACAAAAAAAAAATGATGCCTATATTTGCTCGTTGAGTTTTTGAAACGTATATTACATTTTCATCCACTCTTCAGCAGTAAACGTAGATAAAAACATGAATTCATACAATCAAGGAATTCTCAATTTATATAACTACTTTGATAATATATATATGTACATATATAATTGGTTTTAAATAAAACAATCTTATCTTTTAAAAATTTCTGAAACTTAACGACGTTAATATTGGTACGATTGTTTAAATAATAAAACTGTTAAAAAATTAAAGATAAAAGAATAAAAGATGTGAAGAATTTACAGCATGTGGATCCTTAAAAATATTAAATTTTCCCGTTGTTAACCTTCTTTGTGAATGGGAAATGATATTTCGATAACTGTAGCTTTACAATTTTTGTGAAGGGGTCTTCGGCGCGCAAATTCATCCAAGTTGATAAACTTGAATGTTGCTACTAAACGGTCTTCATTAATTCGTGTTGTTTTGAAATCACTTTGTTTTTAATATTTTTTAAAATGAGTCATACAAAGAATGCTTAGTTGCACTTTCATCAATCGACGGGTCAAACTGTTGAATCGTTAGCTGAATCGGTATTTTATCACAATGTAAACATAATTATGTATAAATATTTTTAAGTCGATTTTACGAAGTCGTAGTAGCATTACGAAGTGAAACAAAAGCATTAAATAAAAGCACGTACATATACACATGTGTAGAAAAAAGAGCTGTTATGTTTATCTTGTAAACTTATCGGTTTCAATGTCGAAATGTGACGACACATTGTTTAATATTAACACAAAGCGTGGATTATCCAAAGGCGAAACCGAGGCAGTGATTCGCATTTGAAATGAGCTTATCGAATTTTAAAATATCGTTTCTCTTATTCTGGCTTCGAGTATTGACGCCAGAAGAGTAGAAGAGCTAGTCTAAAAATATAAAAAATCGTTGCTGGAGGTCAGAAGTTCATATTTAATGATAAAGAATTTGAATGCATATGCACTTGAGCAATTATCGCATAATTATGTTTGCATCTGTATGATTCAAGCAGTATTAAAACGCAAATCAAATTTCTCTTTAAAATGCAGATTTTATATCTACTATTTATTCGATATTAAATCCAATTTAAATTTCATGGTTCAGTGGAATTCCTGAAGATAATGTGATTGCACTTTGTAAAGAATTAGTTTTAAATATGCCACACTAAGTGTGAGTATGAGTTTTCAATCCGAATTTAAAGCAGTTAAAAATCTTGATTTTTTATATTTCAACTAAGACTACTGTCAGGTAATATCTAAAATCCATGCATATTTCCATATATTTCCTTCTTTTTAGTAAAAAACCAAACTTGAAATTTTGAAAATTTCTTTTTGGCAATAGCCGTAAAGTGGAATCAATATGGAAAAACTTGAGCTATTGATTGTTTCAGTATTAGCTACATGGGTTTTGATTAGTGGTGTCGAAGCGTACAGAGTGGGCGTTGGACGTGCAGATGTGACTGGACCACCTGTGGAAATACATTTTGTGCGTATAAAGTATTATTTGATAATAATCTATTAGATGCTTATATTTTACGTGGCGTTTTAGATGGGCTATGCAAATTTAAAGCAGGTTGGTCGCGGACTTCATCTGAGGCAGTTTGCGCGTTCTTTCGTTGTAGAAGATGACAACCAGCGACGTGTTGTATTTTGCACTGTAGATGCTGGCATGATGGGATATGCTGTGAAACGAGAAGTCAGTTCAGTCGTCTATAGTTTTTTATTACTGATTGCAATTATGTATTTTGAAATTTAGGTTATCAAACGTCTCCAGCAACGATATGGACCTATTTATAATGATGAAAATGTGGTTATAAGTGGAACCCATACGCACAGTGGTGTTGGTGGATTTCTTATGCATCTACTTTATGACATATCAATTTTGGGTTTTGTTCCTCAAACATTTGAAGCGCTTGCCCAGGGTATTTACTTGGTAACACAAACTGAAATAATTGTAGACTAATATAAATTATAAAATAAACTCTTTAATTTTGTAAAAATCCAGAGTATAAAACGTGCTAATGATAATTTAACACCTGGTAAAATATTTTTATCTAAGACATCAGTTCTAAACGTGAATATAAATCGTTCACCTACTTCATATTTACGAAATCCTGAAGAGGAACGCGCTCAGTACGAGCATGATGTTGATAAAACATTAACACAACTGCGTTTTGTTGATTTGGAAAACAATCTACTTGGTGCCTTTAATTGGTATGCAGTGCATCCGGTTTCTATGAATAATACAAATAAATTGGTGTCAAGTGATAATGTAGGATATGCTGAACTTTTATTGGAAAAAGAATATAACACAAATAAAGTACCTGGAAAGGTAGAAGCAGTATATAAATTTTTTATTTAAAATTGATGTTAATATTATTTTCTGCAGGGTAAATTTGTAGGAGCGTTCTGCTCTTCAAATCTTGGAGATGTTTCGCCAAATATAATGGGACCCAAGTGTTCAATAAGTGGAAACGATTGTGATCTTTTAAGTTCCAAGTGCCCTGCTAAAGAAGGCGAATGTTTTGCATCTGGTCCAGGACATGATATGTTTGAAAGCACTAAAATAATAGGAACGCGGCTAGCTGAGGCTGCTTTGGTATTTATTTATTTATAACATATTTGAGTTGGTTAATTACCATACCTTTTTCGATAGCGTCTACTAAACGAAAATAGCGAAGAAAGCAATTATCGAGAAATTACTGGCGAAGTCGCCTATATACATCAATTTGTGGATATGCCTAATTATAATGGTTCATCATATAATCCTCTTTCGCGTAAGTTAGATATAATAAGAGGATGTCACCCTGCTATGGGGTACAGTTTTGCTGCTGGTACTACAGATGGCCCCGGTGCGTTCAATTTTGAGCAAGGAACTATAACAGATAATGCAATGTGGAATGCTGTAAGAGATTTTATTGTACCGCCTACACAGGAAGATATTAGTTGTCATGCTCCAAAACCAATTTTATTAGCCACTGGCAGAGTAAGACTCTATTAAAGAATTAAAATTATATGCCTTTTAATCAAAAATTTTAGGCTACATTTCCCTATGAATGGCAACCAAAAATTATTCCCACTCAGATACTTAAAATTGGAGATTTAATAATTGCAGCTGTTCCAGGTGAATTTACAACAATGGCTGGTAGACGTCTTCGAAATAAATTAGCTGCTGTTGCTGTTGCTGCGGGTGGGAGGGATACTGAAGTAATACTCGCTGGGTTATCAAATATATATACTAGTTATGTAACTACACCCGAAGAATATCAGGTAAGATTTAAGTTTATAGTTATTTTCTGTTCTTGGTTTTTATGTGTTTAAACTTTGAAGGCACAGCGCTATGAAGCAGCTTCAACGATTTTTGGACCTAATACACATAGCATTTATATGGATGTGTATGAAGGTTTAACTAAAGCAATGATACGAGGGGAAAAGGTTAATCCCGGTCCATCACCACCATATATGAATGATCGCATGCTTTCAATGAATACTGGAGTTATATTTGATGGGCATCCAATTGGCAAGGATTTTGGATACGTTAAATTACAGCCGAATAACGAGTACAAAATCAATGACACGGTAAAAGTAACTTTTATTGCTGGAAATCCAAGAAATAATATTTTTCACGAGAAAACTTATTTTGTGATTGAAAGAAAAATAAATGAAGAACGTTGGAAAGTAGCCTATACAGATGCCAGCTGGGAAACAAAGTAAGTTTTTCAATATTATTTGGTTTCTTTCACTACTAAATTTATTGCTTAAGGTTTATTTGGGAGCGCACACATCTAATACTTGGTTTCAGCGATGTTCATATACATTGGACGATTAATACTAATACTCTACCCGGCGAATACCGCGTAAGACACTTTGGAAATTACAAATACATATTAGGGGGTATTTTTCCATACGAAGGCATAAGTCAATCGTTTATAGTGAAGGAAGACTAGAAAATCATGTCTGTGAGCTAGTCGACCAGTAAGAGACTGCGTGCATCAGGGTGTCTAAACAATTCGATTGATTTATTATATTGTATGATCTTATGTTCATATGAAAAACTTTCATTGTTTAGAAATAACTAAATAAACATATTTATTTTGAATAAAAATTGAACTGTGTTGTGAATACTTATCCGATGTGAATTCAGTAAGGCTAAATATAAAAATTTTTCGAAATGGTTTTATTTAAAATTTATTAATCAAAATCTTATTATACAAATTTATGTATTGTTAAAAGCGTAAATTTTGTAGTTTATTTATACAATACTTAACATATAATGGATATGTACTTTTTATCTCTATATTTTAAACGTATCGTTTCTGTTAAAGACCGTATATTTTTGAAGCTACCAAAACTACGATTTTTTATATACAATACCTTCTACTACCGTGAATTTTATTTACACTGCTTGTGGAATGTAGAGAAAGATAATTAAAAAACTTGGTACTCTTTAAATCCACAAAAAAGCATACGCATAGACGTACACAGCATTGAATGAAGGGTTCAAATGGAATGGCGTAGAAAGCTAACCTGTGTTTGAAATTACTTAGTTTTGAATACGAAAATGAAATAAACACTTTGGACAGCCCTGGACTAAATGATTTATATAAAATTATATACCAGTTTAAAATTGTTCTACATTGTAAGAAAGTAGCAGAGTCGTGCAAATGTCACTGTACCTGCGCCACTGTACGAAATGTGGAATAATTTGTAGTGCGCAGAGTAGCTACGTTCCACAAAATATAAATAAAGATTCAGTCTCATTCTGTAGTTCTCAATGTGTGGACACAGTGTAAATGAGTGTTATAGTACTGACGAACATATTTGTTAATAGAAGCATATTAAAGTAAAGGATTTAAATTGTTTAATAAGTGTTATGATCTTGTGTAATTTGTGATATACTTTTATAATGATAAAACAAGTAAAGTCATATGTCCCCGTCATTTAAGAACGAAGATTCAGATAATAATACAGCGTGTGGTTATTGATAAGATGCAATAAGAGTGAGAACTGAGAGACACAGTGTGAAAAGATAAAACAGGAACTCGTACATATTAAAAAAAGCAATAATTGCCTCCATCAGTTTGTTTACGAATAGAATCAAGAGAGAGCCATAGGTGAGATATTTCTGATATGAAAGTGAAAGAGTTTTTTTTGTTCTTTTGTGTATTTTTAAAGCGGTTCATGTCAATTAAAAAAATTATTTTAAGTTCTTTTGTTTATTCGATAATTTAATATAAAAATGTTTTAACTCTTTCTATAAGTTCTTATTTAGGACTGCGATTTTATTAAATTAAAAGCGAAGCCGGTTGAATTAACAAATTCAGCAGATAGTAATTTTTGACCTTTCCAAATATCGTTTTTGTATGTGATATGTTGTCGGTTTTAAATTTATTACTATGTACTTTATGGGTCTGAAATTCATTTATCTCATATATATTAAAAATAAATTTGTGTCATCGTTATATTAGCTTAATATGCGCAAACTCAACATAAAATGTACGGACGTACAATCGTTCTAACATTCAAACACATGAGCTGAATGAATTTGTTAATTTCGTTCTGACTGATCAGTAGCGTTCGCAAACGTTCTGTTAAAAAACTCTCAGCTAGTGCGATAACAGTATCTTTGATGTTTTTGACCATTGGCGATAGAGCAGTGAAGGGACGTTTGAAAGTAGTAGTCATATTGCTAAGTGCATTTCTGTTACTTGAGAAGATTAAAAAATTCCATAAGACAAAATATGTCACGTACACACTTTTAAAATAGACAAAATTTTTAGAGAGTTCTTTAATGTTGATAACATTCAAGTTCTATTCAAAGCAATACTTAGAAAATAATGTGAGGAAGTATAAACACGAAAAATATTTAGATTAAAGTTTAAAATAATTATTGCCCACTCAAACACATTTATGCTCTAATGTTTATCTTCTGATCGTTGAAATGAAATAATAATATTTTATCATCTGTATTTGCATTCATTACTGGTTGAAAACGATTAGTGAGTAGTGTGAAGAATTGAATCGAATACTTCAGCTCAAATATTGGATTAAACTGTAGCGTATGTAGCGTATGTAGCGTTTTAACTATGTACAAATACGATTTTTACCTTATTGATATTAGTGCAATATTAACAATACTTTTGAAAGTGACTTAAATGTGATAATTATTACGAACGAACGATAGATTTGCTGAGGAAACTGTAAATGAAAAACAATCGATTATATATTGAACTATATCTGCAGATCACGTGCTGGTATATCAATCGGTGGCATTGAGATACGTATTGACAACCTCATAGTACTCAGAAAATTCAGAAGAAACTTGGATGCTTTGTAGATATGAATCCCTTAGTGTATTAAGTGAAATAATTATTGTTTTGTTTCATCCGTTTTCTTATTAAAACCACCTGTTGTATTTTATATAAATGGTAGAAATTTAATCAAAAAATCATATTTTTTTATGTATTGTTTAAAAATTTTTATTGTTTCAAAAATTTAATGTGTGGATACATACATATTTGCAATTTATAGAACAAACACTATTGGTATCTTGATTTTTAAAAACTGCACATGAAAATTTTAATTACCCAAATAAGAGAGAAGCAAAAAATGATCGAATAACCAGTTGAACTAGTTCCTAATACCTAAAACGAATTAGGTATTATTTAATCACAAAAGTATTGATTTATAACATCTAAAAGTTTAATGCCCGCTATTTGTCTTAAGTTTTAAATATCGGGAACGGCTTCGTGTAAACAAAAAATTCTAAATCGAAAAACTTAATAAAGTTACAAAAAATTAATTTATTTGCAATTAAATCGATAAAACCTTCACATTAAATGTCGTAGTGGCTTATTAATAAAGTGCTATGAAAAACGTGAAGTTGAAATATCGATAAGGTCAGGCGAAGATTTAAACGTGCTCACGATTAAGCTGACATTTTCCTACAATTGTAGAAGTTGGGAACGAATTCGTGTTTCTTGTATTTTAGTAGAGTTTTGTAAAAGTTTTTGCAAAATTGTTTAGATATTTTAATTATATGTTAATTAGTTAAGGAGATATTCATGTATATTGTTGTGAAATATTCAATTACTTACTCATCAATTGTTAATAACTTATCAACTGCACATCAAAAAATAAGGATTACACTTGGATTTATTTATTTTTTGATACTTTATTTATTCATAATAGGAAATATTAATATGTAGTTCTTAATTCTATCTTTATCCGGAATGACATGGTATCAAAGAAAATTACTTCATTAGTTACTTAGTTTATTTAGGGATGTAAAAATCTAATCTGGCAATTATAATCTCAATATATATTATAATTAATAATACCTGTATATATCTATAATTTTTTTTTAAATACGCATCTGCTGTATATCCATTCAATGCATAATGACTCTTTAACTATTTATTGCCTTTGGTGTCGCCTGTGGAAACATGCAAAGTTTAAATTTAATTCTATTTGTTTTGTAATATTTAAATTATTTCTAAATGTTTGATACTGTGATTACAAACTTTGATATGGGATATCATTATGTACCTATGTGAGTCTATAAAGCCGAAATCCGTTGCATTGACATTAAATTCTACAAGTAAACCAACAGTAGACAATATTGACTAGGTATCTTATCGTGTCATACTCTTTATGCAATGTTTGTGAAAGTTATATTGGTTGCCAGACATTTCTAACGCAGAAAAGGTGATAATGACAATAACAGAAATGCACATGTTACAATACAATTCTGTTATGATTGTCCAAGTTTTATTATAAAGTAATGGAATGCGTAGAAGAATAATGGCGCTGATGTAAGTCAATCTAACACGTCAGTCTGAAAAACTTAATAAAGCCAACATTATTAAATGTGTAATTTATATAGCGACTCAGAGCAATATTGCATTTTTATGGGTCTATTATTAACAATTTCTACTTAAGCTAAATAAAAAAATAAACTAGAATAAAATGCAACTAATAAGATTTGTTTAACATTTCTTAGGAGTGGATAAATTTGTAATTAAGCTGAATTTAAAGAACTGAGCAAGTGTTACAATATATGTATACCTGTTGTACAATTGTCTACAAAACTTATTATGCTTTATTATTAATAAGTCTCTTAAATCTTAAATCTAAGATCTTAAACTTATGTTAAGAAAAAAAATTTTACGTGTACCTTTTTTGGGAACGGACCTTAAATATTTGTTAGAATGGCATTTGTTTCAAATAATGGTTAAATTTACTGACATAATTTTTTAATATCGCCGTTAAAAATAGTGAAAGGTTTATTAAAAAATTTTTTGGAAATAACAGTAAAATGCAACGAGGCAGATAAATTTCAACATGCAGCAATAAATAATTTATTCGTACAAATTAATTTCAAACTTTGTTTACATTTTATACTTTGTTTATATTATTTACTTATGAAATATTTATTTTAGAGAGTATTTTTTTTATATTTATGCATTTATTAAAAAGATGAATTGCAAGTAATGGATTAGGATTTAGATATTAACAAATTTTTTTTATTACCATAAATATAATAATTTTATTGCTTTTTGATACTTGAGCTAAATGATCTATTAGAATGAACTAAATTATTATTTATGACTTAAAAGTCTCCGAAGACATGATAAGAGTACCATAAGCCCAGTAATGTGGAGCAAATTGTTGTATATAATATCCCTATAATAAATTGTAATAAAACTAAATTAATGTAGACAGTTTTTAAATTTAATTAATTTCATTACAAATTAATTAAATAAAATTTTATTAAATACATGTTATATATAATGTTTTAGTTAATTAGTTCATTCTAATAGCTCATTTAGCGCAAGTACCAAATAATACATATATAAAATTAATAAATATAAAATATGTAAAAACTTAAAACAATTAACAACACACCCTTATTTGCAGTTGTCGCTATCGCCAATATACTAATTGATCAAAAAAGAACGAGAAGTTAAAAAAAACGCAAAATTTTAATTTTTAATAATTTTCTTTATTATCGCCTTCAAAGTACTCTCTCTTGCGGCAATACATGCAAGCTAACGCTTGATCCAATTTTCCATACAAGTTTTATAGGCCGCCGAAGGTATGGTCTTTAGATCACGCAGCGAATTCTCTTTTATGGCCTCTATGGTCTCAAAACGTGTCTGTGATCCTCGTAATGGCAATGGTTATTTGAGTCGTGGGAAGAGAAAAACGTCACACGGAGAGTACGGTGCTTGGTTGATGATATTGGTGGAGGTTTTGGTCAAAAAACTGCGACACAACCAACGCTGTGTGAGCCGGTGCGTTATCGTGGTGTGAAATCCATGAGTTTCCCTTCCATAAATCTAGCCTTTTCCTGCGAATGGCCTCACGCAAACGACACATAATGGCCAAATAATACTCCTTATTGACCGTTTGACTGTCCGGAAGGAGTTCATAGTGCACCATACCACGAATATCGAAGAAAACAGTCAGCATAACCTTTGTTTTTAGACCGACTTTTCGGTTTCGGCTCACCTTCGAAGCACCATTCGGTCGATTGTTGTTTGGTGGGCATTCATATCAAATGAAAAAAAAAATTTTTCGACTTCTTTGTATAGACGCCAAACAAAAACTAATCTTACGATATGCGTTAAACTTTGACAGAATATGTATAATAGTGTTGCCAGCGTGAAAATAAAAAAATTTGTCGATTGGATAAGCGCTGGAATTAAAAAAAAGAACGAATTCGTTATTTTTTGATCACAAGGTAACTAATATCCATGATTAAGAATGTTAAATTAAACGGACAAATGCATTATTAATTGAAAAATTGTGCATTTGCTATGTACAAAAGTCAATGATGCAGCTTAATCCCCACAAAAATGCTTTGAACATTTCATATTTCTGTACAATGCGTTAAATAAAATATAAGGACTAATCAGTCTGTCTTGCAAACTCATTGCAAGATACACAAAACGTACAGATTTCGCGACCATGCAATGGACAGCAATAAAATTCATGCGAAAAGGTTATCGAAATCTTGCTATACCTAAACCTATGTATATATGCTTGCAACGAAACAAAAAAGGATAAAAAACAGCAGTTACTGTTTAGTGGATGTGGTATGCTGCAAAAACAGCTGTTCCATTTTGATGTTGCGATTCTGCAACAGAAGTGTTTTCGTACTTTTGCAATTTTAGCATAGTATTCTTTCATTTCCTGCGTCTTGCAATAAATTTGCAAGACAGGGTGAAAATCCCTATAGTAACGCTAGGGAGTCCTGACCACTACCAACTCCCGTTATATTCATACGTACTCTTTCACATTCAACAATATGTATATGCCTTTAGCATCCTTTAGAAGGGACATCCACATTTGTTCTAGCTTAAAAAATTTTTTGATTTTTTTTAGTTCTTTTTTAATTTTTTGTTTTTACAATTTTTGTTGTTATTTTTTTAATTTTTTTAAAATCTTTTATTTTTTTAAATTTATTTTATATATGTATTTTGTAATAGTTTTGTTTATATAAAATTTTTATGTACGAGTATACTTTTGAATTGTTTTCAATAGTTTCCAAACCTTAATTTTCGATACATTTAGAAGTATTAATACGATTTTTACGATTTGCATATGATTTTAGTCTTTGTAAACGTCGACGTTTTTTTTCAGTACCGTTTACGTTAATTGAGACGTTGTATTCAATGACTTATGATCTAAAAGGGTCTACTGGCCTTAAATTAGCCTCTTAGCTAAGATCAGCTGTTGAATTGAAATGAATCTAAAATTTAAAAAATGATATAAAATTCTGATGATGAATACATTATAGTCATTACTGTTTTAACCATAAAAGTGCACAAAAAATACGAAGTAAAACTTTTGAGATATGTGACTCTTAATAGAATAAAAACATATAAGTATGATATTTAATCAACGTTTATACCATTCAGTTATTGCAACATACAAACACACTCAATCTGTGAATATGGTTAAGCTTAATAATTAAGCACAGTAAATTTGGATGCTCTATAGCTGCTTCATAATTACATTTAATTAATAATGAAATATGCTTTTCGCCGCTCGCCTTCTGATGTTATCGTCATGGAATAAATGAACTATACGAGTATATAAGGGAATACATTGTTCCTTTTATTGAACTCCATATAAAACTAGAGAGTTTTTACTTGTAATTGGATGTGTGGTTTTTGAACTCTGTTTAGCTTGCAAAGTAACAAATATATGTATCAAATATAATCTCAGTATCTCTATAATATTTATAAAATATAAATATAAATATTTTTTATTAATTTATTTAATATAAAAATTAATGGTAAACTTCGTTTTGGCTCATTATAGCAAAAAAAAAATAAAAATAAAAGTAAATTTAGATATTAATAGATTATGAAATCAATCATTTTCAAATTTAGTTATTTAGCTAAATATGTCAGTTAAATGTCAGTTAAAACAATTATTAAATGAAATTTTAATAATTGTCATACTATTTTGTTTTCCTGCAAGAAAGGTCCTTCCGTACTAAAATTAATAGCACTCTTTCGTCCGCCCGATCAATTGTAGCAGGTGTACCTCAAGGGTCGCCTTTGTCTCCCACATTGTTTAATGTATACACGGCAGACATCCCCACCTTAAGTCCCACATCAATGGCGCTTTACGCAGACGACACATGCTTGATCTACTCGGATCGGGATGCCTTAAATGTAAGCAACACGTTACAGGGAAATATAGACCTTATGGTGGAATACTTCCAAAAATGGAAGATTAAAATTAATAATGACAAAACCAAGGCTATATTTATAACTCGAAAAAGAAGACAGCATCCTCCAAGAGTGAGCGTTTGCGACACGGAGATACGGTGGGAGGATAACATAAAATATCTGGGGGTCACTTTTGACAAACGGTTCAATTGGCTTAAACATTTGAAATACAAACGGAATAGTTGCTCTAAGATTCTACATTTATTAAAGCCGCTATTTAATAATTATCACTTCAACTTTAAAAACAGAAAGTTACTTTATACGCAAGTAATTAGACCTGCACTTCTGTACGGATGTGTTACATATAGCAAAGCCTCAAATACCACCTTAAAGCAATTACAGATAGCTCAAAACCTGGCCTTAAGAAAACTGTTTAAGATTCCATGGTACATTAGATCTACGGACATACATAGAGATCTTAGGATTGACTCAGTGAAAAAATATATCAGAGACAGAGCTTTAAAATTATTCACTAAAGTTGATACGCTACTTAACCCCGCCATAACAATCCTCAAGTCCACTTCTGGACTCTCAGGAAGATATGCTGATTTAAGGTCCGTCATCAACTAAAAGACAAATAAATGATATGATTTTTTAGCCTAGTTAAAGCCTAGTGTGGGGTAGTGATTAACCCCCCAGTCATTATAGAGTAAAAGTGCGTAATAGCACTAACTCAAGAAGAAGAAGAAGAAGAAGAAGACTATTTTGTTTCGAAATTTGCATTTCGCAATTCGCAATCTATATGGTTATATAATTTTATGAGATGCGATTACTTTACAAAATAAACATACTACTAACAGAATTTCAAATTAATTTATCTCGAATTTATCTCAAACACTTTACCCGAAACAAATTTCGTTCTTAGAACTTAAACTGGTTGCTTTATGACGTATTAGGTGAGGCAATAAACTGTTCACTAATTTATTAAATTAATTCACAAACTTTATATCACATTACTCGGGTCTAATTAGTTTAATTGAAAGAGAAACAGATGAATTGTACTATGAAATTATTAATAAAAAACCGAAGAATTGAAAATATCTAATAATAATAAAAGCATTGGCAAAAAAGTATTTACATTGACTTAAATATTGTAATTATCAATCTATTATGGTTTGGAGTTGATAATTTTAGTTTAAGCATTAATTTTTTTATTTATTTGGACTTAAATAATTTTTTTTGTAAATGAATTTAAATCGATAACTGATAACATTTTTGTATTCCTCTCATTAAACAGCCTTAGATGGATCTTTTTATGATCTAAATTAAATCCAGTTTAATTGTATATCATTTGAATTTGATTTCATTGGAAACGCGTTTGTTTTAAAAATCATTATTGATCAATCTACGAAATTTTATTGTGAGGCTTAAAACTTGTTTCTAATTTTATAGAATTGGTATTTATACTCTTCACCCTTTAAGAATCGGAACCATAAATACACTGTGGTTCAGTTGTTATTTGTTAATTTTCATTTTTCAGTTAACTCAATTATTATATACATATATCGAAAACACACGTATATGTATATGTATATATATATGTATACATATATATATATATATATTTATATATATTCAAATTATCTAAATAATATGAAAAGTCTTAAAATCAGGCATTAAATTTGTTTGTTAACATGTATCTAGATTTTTTGAGTTAGAATTTAGATAATATGAATTTTAAATCAAATATAAGACTTTGATTATTTGTACTATAATATTATAATTTTGTACTTCAGTCTATATTGTAATTTGAAATGAATTACAATACGTGCATATTTAATCTTATTCAAGTATTTAAATACTACATATATTTAAAATAGAACTTTTGTTTGTTTGCAGGTTTGGTGAGATTTGTAGAAATGAAGGTGTATCTTAAAATCAAACGAATTCTGCTATGCGTAGGGCTCATGCTTTGTGTCTTTGATATTAAGTCAATCAATATGGAAGTGTACACAGCTCTGGCAGATATGGAGGAGTTACTTGAGACTGAAACTGTATTAATAAGTAATTTGGAAGGATTTATTAAAGTCCAGCAGCAAAAATTGGATTACCTGCAAAAGTGAGTTATGAACGCATTTTGTTTGTTAGAATATTTCTTTCCGATTAGTGAAGTTAACATTTTGGATGACTACCTCAACACACTCAAATAATATTTATATACTCATATTGCATTATACTCATGAGTATAATGCATCGTTACTATATATGTACATACATATAGGTCCTATAGTTTACTTATAAAATGTAGACATAAAGCACAAACTTAAACTGCTGACAGCTGTTTCACTGTCAATTATCCTTGCAATTCTGTGTGTTCACTCGTGCCTTTTGCTTTTAGTTTTGTTGGGCCGCTGCTAGTTTTATTGGCTTAAGCTTGCGGATTTTGTAGTTATGATACATGTTGTAATTTAAACGGGAAAAAAGTTTTATTAGGAAAAAGCATATACATATTGTGATCAATATAAACACATTAATTAAATTTTGAATATTTTTGATTAATATATTCTGATAGGAAAAAATGTTTCATATAATATATTGTGCAGCCTCTGAATCCCGCTGAACTAGAAATTTTAATTTCCAAAAATGACAAAATGACAAAGTTTCAAACTCGTTAAGGGTATGAAAATGTAACGGACAAAAACTTCTTTACCCTCTTATAAAAACAAAAAGCCGGCTGCGTTTGATTGCAAACATTACTTTAAATGTTGTATTCATACATATGCAAGGTACACACGTCACACATAGAGAGCAAATTACATGTTCCAGATACATATATGAATGCTTGTAGATATTTGGAATGATAAAACGAAAATAGTTTTTAATGTATACAACGAGCAAATGCAGGATGTAGTAGTTCAACCCTCGAAAGTCGCAAAGACGATTAAAGACGTTGTGGCAACAGCAGATGTTTTCACAACGGAACGGAACGCGCCAAACAACGAACAATGAAGTCATACGTGCACGTGTGTTTATGTGCAGCAGTTGTCAATTGTGCTAGAACTGACTTACCAGTATACGATTTATATGGCACTAAAGGAGATTATATATGTAGTGTTATGTGTTGATTAAGAGGGGGAGAAGTCCACACTCGACTGCGTTCACCAAAGTTAGTGGCAGTTGCTTGTAGTAAAAGACTTGGCATGCGCAGTTGCGAGGAAGAAGTTGTCGGAAGCGCAGTACTCGCGGAAATTAGGTAGAAATTGTATGAAGACAATCATTAAATGTATATAATTTGTTAAAAATCATCAAGTTATGAATTATTAAAGTAAGATAACTGCGTCAGTAATAAAAAATTGCAAGCGAAGTGATAATTCAGTGCAAAATGTTCAAACATAGCTATTCAAATGCAGCATTTTGTCAGAACAGTGAATTTTATTCGACAAATAGCTCAAAACCCAATAACGCTGAGGAAGTATGTAATAGTAGTTTGAATTTGAATGAAAATGTACCTACAAATGTTAGCTGCAATTCACGGGATGGACCTTTACGAATTCAACGAAGTATGTCTACGCGTTCATTTGTTTCTAAACCGACACTAGCACGAAAACCGTCGGTTATTCGAAATTTACCCAGAAAACAAATTTTAAATCAACAACAAAATGTAAAAAATCACTATAAGCTTGGCAATTATTGTTCAGAAAATAATATAACCGAGGGAAATCATACGCAATACTCAAGTTCATGTTCAGGAAGATATGCTTTAGTGCCCGTTGAAGAGCTAGTAAATACCAAAAATAAGCAATACACGATTATTCCAGGTATAACACCATATGTGGCTTCAAAACGTTATGCAAAATCTCAAGAAAATTTGGATCGCATAACTTTATGTGAGAGATTGCAAAACAGTGATGAACCAAATTTTCTTCATGGAGATTCTACCGATCAATTTTGTAGTTTGCCAGCCGTGTCTTCAAGTAGAATAATAATTAATCAGACTCCTAAAATAAAACATGCCTTTTCTAGTGATTTTAATAGTACCTCATTTTTACTGGTGGATAAGAACAGTAATCAAAAATATGAAATGGTCCCAACTGCAGAAGATGAAGAAATTGTTGACGATAATCAAGAAATAATACAAATGCACAATGGTCGTGCTCACCGCTATGCCGTCATACCAACTGAAGATGACAATGAGAACTTGGAAACTGAGGAAGAGGAAACGTGTCTAAGCTCTGCAGAACTAAATCGCTCACAAATTTATTTAGGATTAAATTATGAGACAGAACAAATGATGTCTTTACGTACCTCAACGCCACAAAAGGATGTATCAATATCTAAAAATGCTTCTTATCCAAGTACCCCCTTAAAAAATCCTGCGGCCACTAAAATGCTTCATGAATTGTTATCAACACCACGGAAAACACCAACTCAACAGTCTGCACATCAACAGTCTGCACATCGTATCAATTCTGGCATCAATCATTTACAACGTTTAGAGCATCGTACTCAGTACCATATTCAACAACAAATTGATTACGCACCACCAGGAGAACGCAAAAAGGAACTTTTACCGCAACGTTTACACTATGAAACTGTAAAAACTCCAACAACAATTGTGCAACCTGATCGTACAATGGCTGTAATAACACCACGTGTAGCAGAATCTAAAGTTTATGCACAGGTGGACGATTGTAGCAGTATACATGCGAAGTCGTTGAATAACTCCTATCCGCAAAAAGTTGCCAATGCTACCATTACGTTGGCAATAGTTTCTTTGATGTTAGTTGTGGGTAGCACTATGAACTCTGGCCTTATTATTTATATGATTGCACATGTAAGCCGTCTTAAATTCTCTTCTTAAATCTTCTTAAACACTAACAATAATATTTCTTAGTTTGGAAAATCATTTTATTTGCAATTTAGTTTGATGGCTGCTTTTTGTGGAGTAGGTCTTGGTTTTCTAGGCTTTCGGTCACGTCATTGTGAGTGGCTGCCAAATCGCAGTTACACTTCAGGTTATATATTGGTTACTATGTTTTGTTTACTTAAATGTTGCGGTCTTCTGGTTATACTTGTGCTGGATCCGTATCCTGGTTTACCTCTGCATGATGTAACAACTGGAGTGATATTGGGACTATCCACATTCACAATATTTTTCATAGGTTTGGGAGTGATTGGATCGCTGTGGTGCTACAGACCGCCACCTGATAATAGAGTTAATATTATTTAATTATTAATTTAATTATTTAATAATGAACAAATTTATTAAACTTGTAAAATAATGCAGTAAATAAGTTTTTATTTAGTACTGGATCAGCTAAGTACCAAATATTTGTGGTTATATTTCATATAAAGAAGACGAGGTTCTTATTGTTTTACAGACGTCATTGTAGTATTTTAGCGTTAAATATGTAGTGTTTGAACTAAGTTCGTTTTAAGATTACTTAAAATATTTTCAAAGTAAACGGAAATTATATATATAGAAAAATAAAAAAATAAAAATTATAGAATTGATGAAAAATATTGTACATATGTTAATTATTATATTTTTAATAAACTTTTATGATTGGTGTCTCATTTTGTTGTTGTTGTGATTGTCATAAGTTTTTTTTTGAGGGGAAAAAGGAGGAGGAGTGACAAGTAACTGTTTGGCACTTGGCTATACCCTGATCTCAATTGAGCTAGGGAAGTTTTTGCTAGGAGAGCTTTACTGAAAATGGCTTTAATGAAAATTTGGGTGTACATCTGTGTGACATGTAAGGAGGTATTTGCTCTTTTACAATAAGCATTTTCGATTCCGCATAAAGGTGGTCAACATGCGATATACATTGGCCGCCGGTTGCAATCCGTAATGCCGTGATTTTACAAGATAAGATGATACTTGAGCTATAATAGCCGCAATAGGGCGTCCTATAGCTTTGTATGTGCTCAAACTCTGGCTTTATTAGTTTTGTTTTATTATAGAAATATCATTCAAAATTATTAGATGTTAATGTAGAAAAAAATTGTTTTGTATTAATATGTTGAGGCTAGTTGAATCAGTGGACTTGAGTACTTTTACTCTCTCTACCCCTCTCTACGCCTTGACTGGATTATTGTTTATCACTTCATCAGATTAAGCAATAATTGACCTCAGATCTGCATACCTTCCCGAAAAGCCTGTTATAAATTTGGAGATTCGTTAACGCGGTGTTGATAAGCCTGTCAGTTTTCGTAAATAATTTGAGAGCTCTATCTTTTATGTGTTTTTTCATTGGATCAATCTTGAGGTTCGCTGAGGATGTCATTCATCCTAATATACCATGGTACCTTGAAAAGTCTTTTCAGAGCCTGGCTTTGTGAAATTTCTAGCTGGCGATGAGTAGTAAATAAGTTTTTTTTCATTTTTGGATTAATTCTTTTTATCAAATTTATGATTATAAGTTTCCTTTCTGTGTGTGTGCAAGACTTATATTAATTCATTTTATTTATATAGCAAATTAAAAGAATACCAAAGAGAACACTCTGATGCGACTGTGGATAGGAGCAGTTATATATCCAATCCTATTAACGCTTATTTGCTAACAAAACGATTAACAACAGACTGGAGACAAGTTGAAAATTTAATGACTCATGATGTAGGTATTGGTAAGTAATCTATCATTCTTTTTGCTCAAAAAAGCAAGTATTTAGTTTATTTATCTAAATTTTATTATTAGATTTCCTCAACAATATCACAAATTATAGAAGTATACTCAAATTTCCTTCCGATGAGGATTTAAATGGTGCCGCAGTTGCTTTGATGCGATTACAAGACACATACCAACTGGATACGTCCAGTGTTGCACGAGGTGAACTTAACGGAATACAATACAGGTTAATAAATTTTTTAAATAAATAAAAAAAATGTTATGTAGATTTTGTTTTTTTTGTTTTAATTTTATTTTTTTACAATTAAAATTTTTTGCATACTGTTGTTTAGTACTGAAATGTCATCAGACGATTGCTTCGAGCTTGGGCGGCAATCATATGTCAACCAAGATTATTATCATACTGTGCTTTGGATGAATGAGGCAATGACACGATTATTGGATGAACCACGTAATCAAACGCAGGCTTTTACACGGGCTGATATACTTGAATATTTAGCCTTTTCGACATATAAACAGGGTGAGTGTAAAATATTTATCCAAAACTTTGCGCAATCTCCAAATGGAATTGCAACATTGAAAATTTGAAGTTGTAGTTTATTATTTTAGAAGCATATTTTTTGGCTTCCTATTAATAGTTATATATTGTACAAAGCACACAGTTCGACAATGTTTGTAAATGGCTTATCTATTGTTCTTTTTAATACAAATTATAAATTTTTATAGGAAATGTGGAGAGTGCACTTACAATGACCAATGAACTTCTGCATCTGATTCCGAATCATGATCGAGCTACGGGAAATAAAGTGTTTTATGAAAAAGAAATAGCTAAATTTAAAGCTGAGAAGCGCGTGAAGGGAGACGATGGATCGGATGATACGCCTTTATCTGACTTGGTGAGCACGTCATTGTTTTATTGCAGTGTGCTTTAGAATATGGATTTACATTTTTTTACCGCCTAATATAGCCGATACAAAAGACGGATCCTACAGTTTTTGATTATTCTGAGCGCAAAGCTTATGAAATGCTTTGTCGTGGAGAACTAAAACAATCTCCTTCTGATCTACGTCCTTTGCGTTGTCGATATGTGACAAATAATGTTCCATTTCTTAAAATTGGTCCACTGAAATTAGAGGAAGCCTTTCTAGCACCATATATTGTTATTTATCATGACGCTATATTCGATAATGAAATTGAATTAGTGAAGAAAATGGCTCGACCTCGCTTTAGACGTGCCACTGTGCAAAATTCGATCACTGGTGAATTAGAAACTGCTAACTACCGTATAAGTAAATCATCGTGGTTGAAAACTGATGAAGATCCAGTTATTGCTAAAATAGTTCAACGTACTGCGGACATGACTGGATTAGATATGGAGACAGCTGAAGAACTACAAGTAGTTAACTATGGTATTGGAGGTCATTATGAGCCACATTTTGACTTTGCAAGGGTAAGATGTTATTTTTTTTTTTAATTTCGTAGCTTACAACAATTTTGCTTGAATATATCAATTATATATAACTATATGAATTAAATTTTTTTGACTTACTTATTTTTATATTTACAAAGCGCGAGGAAGTACGTGCTTTTGAGGGTTTGAATGCCGGTAATCGTATAGCTACAGTTCTATTTTATGTGAGTGTTATATGCGCCGTACAAAATAATTGAAATTTATTAATTTAACATTGTTTATTACGAATATACTTTATAGATGAGTGATGTTGAACAAGGTGGTGCAACTGTATTTACTACAATTCGCATTGCATTATGGCCGAAAAAAGGCTCCGCTGCATTTTGGTATAATTTACACAAGTCAGGTGAAGGTGATTTTAGAACTCGGCATGCCGCATGTCCTGTCTTGACTGGTTCAAAATGGGGTACGATACTGGGTTGATATTTTGTGATCTTACTATTATTTATTGTTTGTCATTTGTAGTTTCCAACAAATGGATTCACGAGAAAAATCAAGAGTTTAGACGCTCCTGTGCACTCGAACCAGATCATGGTGAATTTGCAATTTAAAGAAAGAAATTTTTAGCTAAATTTTTATTGTTTACTTACGAATATACTCGTATATATAAGCGAAATAATAGATTTTAAATCGAATTTTTACTAGTTTTTACTCATTATCAGATGGTACATAAAAGAATTCTCAATATATTCGAAAATTGTTTCATATGTGAAACTATTAACTATTAGATACTAATTTATAACAGGAGTGAAACAATTTGATCAATGTAAATAAATTCAATTATTTTTTTATATTTTAATTTGTATATTAAGTTTCGAGGCATTTTTTTACATGTTTTGATATAATAATATAATAAAAAGTTGTTGAAATTTATATATGTATAATACGTGTTTGATGTTGTTGTGATGTGATTTCTTAAAATGGTTTGAATAGTGTTGACTGATTAAGTCGTCTTAATTAGTGAAGAATTCAGTTATAGTCCAATTACAAATAAAAAAAAACAAACAATTAAAATAATTTCCACTTTAACACAAAAGCACGGCTTTTATAAATTATTCAATTTAAGAGGTTTCATTTTTCATTACTTTGAAGCGCACTAGCAACTGAATAATGATTTTAAATATCACTTGCAAGGAAAATAATATTAACATTTTCCCCCCTAAACGTGGCTGTCTTATTGACTCATCAACAAAATGTGTAAATAAAAATGGTTTGTGTGATTACAAATGAACCGCTACAACTGTGTCAATTTTATAGACAAATATTAGTATCGAAGGCAAAAGTAGGGAACGAATTTGAGAAAATAGTTTCAGTATGAGGTAACTATTGGGATGTTGCATACACATAATTACTTTGTTCGCATAGAAAGCAAAAATAATGCCAACTCATCAGTCACCATCATTTTTATCGCCAGTAAGTTTTACTGTATTAAAAATGCGATGTTGGCTGGAAGGCATATCTTTGATGAACAGTTGGATGTGTGGCAAAAAAGTGATTATCTTGTGCAGCCTAATCATAGCGGCGGCATATGTGCCATGTGGTGATGCTGAGTACTTTTCGTCAGTAGATAGCTTGAACAGGCTTGGAGAAATTGAAATGGAACTTATTGAAGGCTTTCGACATTACCTTGAATTACAAGCAGAGGAGTTCGCTGGTTATCGCAAGTAAGTCGTTCTATCTTATTTCTTTTGTTCTCTATAAATAGCAGTTAATATCAGCTATACATTTAAGTGCATTATTTATGTTGGGGATGTATTGATTTTCTATAAATGTACCATATTATTATATTTTAGGTTTATTGAGAAGGTTAAAGCGCAACACGCAGAGGCAGAAAGAAATTTGGAGGATTATTTAGGGAATCCAATCAATGCATTCACTTTAATTAAACGAATGGTTATCGATTGGACAGATATTCATGAACTTATTAAAGAAAATGAGTTGAAAGCCGGTAAGGTTTCAAATACACAAGTGGGTTTTTTTTAAAGTAGTTACTTGAAAATAAACTAACATACAAATTTAATGTAGTGAATTTAATTTTTCGTTTCATATTACATACCCTATGCAGCCTTAAGGGAAGATATAGAAGAGCTAGGTAAACAGGTAGATATTCCAAATGAAAGTGACTTAATCGGAACTGTAAGGGGTTTCGCACGTCTTCAGAAAGTGTACAAACTCAGCACAGAAGAGCTTGCATATGGAATTATCAACGGCGTTGATTATGAGTAAAATAAATTACTTAATTTTTAAGTTGTTCAAAGAAAGTTCATGTGTTTTTTTTTTTAAATTTTTAGAGTTGAAATAACGTGGAGAGATTGTTTTGAGATAGCAACCACATTATATGATCAAAACGAACTTATTTTGGCAGTTACCTGGTTTGAAATGGTATTAGAGAAAATACAAGATGAAACTGAAGAGTCTGTACAATACAAATTTGAAATTGATACTCTCGAGTATTTGGTATTGGCCACGTATGATTTGGGTGATACAGATAAAGCGGTTGGATACATTGACGAAATTTTAAATGTTGATCCTAAAAACATTATGAAAAATTTCAAGAACTACATGCTATACACAATGCCGAAAAGATTTATTCAACTCGATAATTTACAAAGTATGGCATGGTATGCAAACTATACACGTTTGTGTTCAGGAGATCGTTTGCCGGATAAACTGGATCATACTTTGAAGTGCAAAATTGGTACCAGAAACAATCCGTATTTTATTTTAGCACCACTAAAAATAGAAGAATTGAATTTGGAGCCAGAAATAACGTTATACCATGACTTATTGAATAACAATCAAATTGATGATGTGTTAGAGCAAGCTAAGAATAATATGGCTCGTTCGGAAGTTGTTAATGGTACAATGAGTGTAGTTCGTGACGTTCGTGTGAGCCAACAAACTTGGCTTGACTATAGTAGTCCTGTTATGCGAACAATTTATAATTTAGTTTCTCATATAAGTGCTTTAGATCTAAAAAATGCAGAAATAATGCAAGTGGCAAATTATGGAATAGCTGGCCAATATGAACCGCATTACGACTTTTTTGGAGTAAGTATATTTTATTAGTTTTGTTAAAGTAGATATATTTGTTTTAAATATTTGTATTTAAAAATATATAAAAGCGCAATATAAAAAGGTTTTATCTTAATATTTTTTTAAGAATGCAACATTCTTAAAACTTAGAAATCTTTTAGGAGATCGTATTGCTACAAATATGTTTTACGTAAGTTGTTAAGATCACAGATTATTTAAATGAAATTAAATATTTCTTCATTAGTTCTCTGATGTTGAGCAGGGTGGCTTTACGGTTTTTCCAAAACTGAATTTGTTTTTACCGCCAATTAAGGGTGCTTTAGTTATGTGGTATAATCTACATAAATCAGTAGATCTGGATATGCGCATGTTACACGCTGGATGTCCTGTTATCAAGGGGTCAAAGCGAAGTAAGTAAAATTCTAAATTCATTCGATTTGAAAAACCTTTTGTTTTGAAGCTTAAGATTACCTTTTGGAAATGTTGTTTCAGTTGGCAATATTTGGGTTCATTCCGATCTACAAGAGTTTACGCGTCCATGTGAGCTGACAAATGATAAATACAAGTCGGTTGAATTAAATTAATTCTGTTTAATTAGGTATAAATTCAAAATTGTAAAATATAATATATTAAAATGATATTAAATAACAAATGATTATACTAGTTTTAATTTGCAAGTAATTTAATCGTAATCTCTATATGTTATCGATAAGTTATGGTCTGATATTAGACTACACGGTCTGTTCCATATTTGATCACGAATACGCAGCCAAATATTTGCAACTAAAAATATTTATTTAATAAATTCATATTGCAAATATTTGTTCAACTTACTCCACTTTGTCCCTTTTAGTACTGGGCATGCCGCATGTTTGGTACGGTAATCAGGATCTCCCGAACTATGCAAATTGTACCAAAAGAGAAGACTTCCTTTTTTAGGTTTCACTAAAACATTTAGAAACGGAAAAGCTGTACTGCCACCTTCTTCAACATCGGAGAGCTTATTTTTATGAAAAATTAAATTCAAATACTAATTCAATTCAAGTTCATATAGTAATCTTACATAATAAATTGCCGTTGTTACACGATTTCCATCACATTCATTATATGATGTATTATCCTGAAATGTTGTAGAGTTTAATAAAGGAGAAGGTAAGGGCTGATTTGAGTGGTTGTGAATATTACTGTGAAAAAGTCCCAGTGTGGTTCGTAGTGACCACCAATACCATAGTTCGCAACTTGTAAGTCTTCCGCATTAATCACATTTAAACCAGAAATTAGCTCGAATTGGAACAACATATTTTGTATGTAGCGATGTTCATTATATTTAAAGAAAGCACTTTTACTTGTACGGTACGTCGCAATTGCACCACTATCACTGCCATTGGGATTACGCACTTTCGAACGTTTAAGCCGTAATTTAGACAATCGCTTCACAGCTATTATTTCTCTCTCAGTAATGACATCATAAAATTGTGCAACATATGGCTCTAGATTATATTCCTCTAATTTAAAAGGTTGAAGTAAGAGATAAGGTAAGCCATTGGTGTGATATTTGCAGAGCAATGGGCGCTGTTGTCTTCGTGTTGGAACGATTTCATTGCGACAGACTTTTTCGTAAAGCTTAAATTCATTAGTTTGCTGTAAAAATGTTAGTTACCAGTTTTATATCATCACAACTAAACTAATAATTCAAGATTTTAATTTAAATAATTAAAATATGTATAAATAATTGAAATATTTGAATTCTTATAATAGGTATATGTATTATAAATACTGGATTAACTTACACGGTAGTCATCTGGACTTATTTTAGTTTCAAATAAAAATCCCTTTTTTACTCCGCTGGTTAACATTTGCTTCAAATAATATTTAGTGTCAATTAAATTTTCACGTTCTGTATCAACGGACAGGACATTATTGATCAGCTGCAGTGCTGTATGAAAATCTCCTATAATATACATTACTAAGATATTGGTTCAAAATTGTTAGATATGAGAATGCATACCCATTTCTTGATGATACGTTGATACGATTTCCATATAATCTAGCGCTAAGGGATCATTGCTGTATTGCTCCGAACTTAACATTTTCATTGATTGTTTTAACCACGATACTGTGTGATTAAAATCACGCATTTCATATAAGTTATGAGCCAATGTAAAACAATCCTGCCATGACATAGCGGTTCTTTAAAACAGTAGTTATGATTATAATTATTATTTTGCAAATTTACATCACTTACCCATATTTAATTCCGTTCAATATTCCACTTGCCACCTCGGTCACATCTAATTTATAAGTTTCTTGCAATCTTACCAAAGCCACTGCAGCGCCGAAAAGATCATTTTCGCTAGGATAATTCATCAGATACCGTTTCTCTTCCAATGATTCAAGAAAACCTATTAGTGTTATGCTAGTTTTTAAAAAATCACAGTAGAATCTTTGATAAATCTTAACATGACAAATCAGTAAACGTTCTTAATATGAAATGTATAAATAAAATAAAATAAAATAAATAAAAATGGGAGGTTCACGTAGTGCAAATACCAACTTGTGCGACTTGTCTCATTACGAACGGTCTCTTCATAGTAACCCCAATCATTGTGTAGTCTTTTGATGAGACGATATGAGTTGACAGGATTATTTAAATATCCATCTAAGTTCAGTGATGCACTCAGATGTTCTTTTTGAATGGCATCAATTTCACTAAATTGTATATGAGATGTAAGATATATCGATTAATAATTTAAATTTGTTATTATTTCACTGGAAATAAAATAAAACTTAAAAATAAAATAAAAGAGTTTGATTTGAATAAAAATAATCGCTTTATTTAAGATTAAAAGATAACTTAAATGTTTTTAATGGAGTGATAAAAATGCACAAAGTACATTTGAATCTGCAAAGAAGTAAATATCTGCTATTGACTTGTTTCAGTCCATAATTTTTATAAATCGACTAAAGGTTTTTTTTAGTTCGGCAGGTTGAACTCGTCTCCCAATTATTTGCACACAAAATGCATATTTCAATCGACGATTATTAATGTTTATTGCCTAATAATGATAAATTTCTAATTTTAAAAGACAAAAAATTGTTTGAAATCTAGTTTCCGAAATGTATAAACGGGGAATTAATAAAGATTTATTTCCAATCTTCGAATTTGATTAAAATTCAATTCTTATTTTGTAATTGTCGTTTTAATTAGCTTTAATTGAATGGAATAAAATCGCACTGTAGAAACACATTTCACAAGATTTACTTTAATATTAAATAAATGTATATTGATCATTTATTTGTTAAAGCGAGAAAAAATTAGTAGAAATACTGGTGATAATTATAAGATTAAACTCGCGAAGATGTCGACTATGTTTTATGCACGTGGGAGGGATTGATGATTTTTAAATAATCAAATATATTAATGAAAACGTCATTGCCACAGATCAGTATTTACAGATATTAGATAAAATATAGTCATTTATTTATTAATATTATTTTTCAAATGTTTAAATCATATTTTGGTTTGATGTATTGTCACTAATTTCTCAAATCTAAAGTAAATTGCCCGTCGACGCTCAAGCAATATTCACCTTTGTAAGCCACTTAAGTGTTTAGATACCCCATTAACATACTCCTGCAGTTCTTGCAGTAAAATGGCCTCTGTGTTCAATAAATCCTCCAAACCTGATACTGAGGAATAATATTCGTTAGAGGCGTAAACATTTTCAACATATACAAATAAAATCAATGCAGAAATAATAATAAAATTCGAAATGTTATTTTCTTTTCTTGTTTTATGGATGCTTAAGTTAGACATTCTTGGCTCTGTCTGATGGTAAAATGAATACAGCTTCTTCCGTCAAAGCGAAGTCAAGCTTAAAAGCGCGGCGCTCAAGTTGTGAACTGATTTGTTGAATCGCAACGATATTTGCTTTAAGTGCGTTGAAAGCAAATAAATTGGTTTCAAATACCAAATCGTCTCACACTCGGGAAGCTTAGTAATTAGCACAAAAAGCATTTGAGCTGTTCCACTTATTTACAAATTTTTCAAGGTCGTTGGTAATATCTTTGGGTGTTTGAAGAACAAGTCTTCGGATTACATTCACTCTTGTGCTAACATATACTACCGCTATATAGTATATATACAAGAAAAAATGTAAAGAAAGAGAGGGAATAGCATTGAATGAACCATAGCTACAGTTTAAATATTATAAAATTTTTATACTCTAAGCTAATCTCGTACAAACTCAAAGCAAAAGTTGCGGTTTATACTATTGCATTTTAGATGTGACTGATACATAAGGAAATATATCATAGTTATAAGGTCATGACTTAATAATTAAACGGAGTAGCAACTGCACGCACTTCATAGTTTGAACATTACTGCTCATATTATTACATTTTTATGCGGTGTGTACGGGCTGTTACCTTGCAAAGTATATTTAAAACATAATTAATAGTTAAATATAATAAAGCTGTGTTAATGTTGAAGAAATTCAACATTAATTAGTTTTTACACATTAGTTATTATTTTGTACGCAATCAACAAACAGTATTACAACATTATTTGGACAAAACTAGGAACACTATTTAGATTTTTGATAACTGAATTGGAGAACTACTAGAGTTATTGGCTAAAAATAAATAATAAAGGTAAAAATAATTTTTAGATTACATATACCAATGTTAAGCAATTGATAATTTTTTTTTTAAATAAAAATGTTATTCTCAATTATATAGAATATTTTTAGATCTCATTCACAGGAGTTTTCATTGAGTATCCTAAATATTCAAAAAATATAAAGGTACAAATTCCTAAAAGTCATTTTACATATAATAGCAATCAATGGTAAGTGAATGAATATTAAGTTAAGTAAAAGTTATTACTCTATTGATTTTTTTTCGTAACAATATACGTGCACATTTTTACTGAATTAGTATTTAGTATATAATATTTTAGATAATGGGCTAAATAACATATTATATAACATATTCATCGAATTGAATGATGACATTAAAATATTAGACTACAGTTATTTTTTCAAAATTTTGATTTCATTTAAAATCTTTTTAAATAATAAAACAAAATTTTAGTTCCCAACTTAATACATCATATTTATTTATTAAAAATATAATTTCATTAGAATATGGTATTATATTATATTAATAAAAATATTCACGGTTTTTTTTGAACAAAGGCCGTTGCACCTAAAAATTTATAAAGTTGATTTGAGAAAAGAGAGCAGTTTTTAAAATGTCAAAATGAATATTACTTACTTATTTGAGTACCGATAATTACAGGGCATAAATGTGCCTCAGTTCTATAATCGACTTCATGAAACTCATTTAAATTTGACCAATATAGCAATGATCTGACAGGAATATTTATACCAACCTCAAGTTGAGGGAAGACAATAGCACCACCCAGCTTAGATGCTTGAAACTATTAAATGTAACAAAAAAGTTAACCTTGATTTTTACAAAAATTATTTTTTCAAGTTCAAATTACATTTAAAAATGTAGTTCCTATGATATTTGCACTAGTAATTTTATAATATTCAGCATCAAAGGGACCAAAATTTTCAAAACTATTGCAATCAGTTTTCCAATCGCTTAATTTGATACTTGAATATCCAGTCACTAACTGCAAAATTTGTTTAATCGACATCAATATATCTTCTATTTGATATTCTTCCACTGCCCTATTGTCACTTTTAAATATTTTCAGTAAATTCCTTAGATTATCTAGTTGTTTCAAAGTAAATATTTCATGGTATATAACAATTAAGGGATTCACACTTAGGAACTCCACTTTAAGCGGTTGTAAAAAGAGTTGTGGGAAATTGCCTCTGTCTAGTTTACATAATTTTTGGGCACTGATGGAAAGAGGAGCTTGTGTTGTGAAAGTTGCTTCTCGACATATTTCTTCGAACCATACTTCCTCAGTCGTTTTAAGTTTTTTCTAAAAAGTATTGCCCCGATATTAAAAATATATTTTATAAAATATATAGAGTAGGTATTGAAAAATGATCTATAATACCTTTTTTTCAATATTCTTTTTTGATTCGCCTGTTTTACTTCGAACTTTACTTTCAATTTGAGTTTTTGCTTTTTGTGCACCTTTGTGCGTTGGTTTCAACTCTAGCATTTTCTTTACAATGTCATGTGATTTGTTAAAGTTACCTGAAATGTTTTCTTTTTGAAATATGCTCATAGTTATTGTTTTTTTTTTACCCGAAGCATATTCTGTATTTAAAACTGCCTTTAAAACTTCAAATATTGTATTTTTCGCTGTGCTACTGATATTCTTGGATGTTGTAGGTAACTTACTTAATGCCAACTCAATCCAAAATTTTGCTATGTTCTGGTTACCGATTATTAAAGACTGTCGACCAATTTCCAGACAATCACTCCACGTCATTTCTGAACTGATTAAAAGTCAATTTTTGGCATATTATATATAAAGCAAAGTGGGTGTTTTCATGTAAATGAATTACCCAAATTTTATTCCATTCATTTCGCCTATAGATAAATGTTCTGGTTCCAAGTTGTAAAATTGCTGCAAGCGCAATAAATTAGCAACGGACTCGTCGTAGTCACGTTCAGTAGGATAGGCTAGATTTTCCTCCATAGCCATCAAGTTCATTTCCACTTTTTTAAATAAAATTAATTGAATAAAAAATCTTAACTTTTAATAGCATTTAGTATTTTCTACTACCTTCAGAGGGTTCCAATTTTTCTGCATAATCAATAATTTGAGTCCAATCAGTTGTCAGTCGCTTCAGAATGTTCAAAGCATTAATGGGATTATGTAAATATGTTTCAGTGTCGTTAGATCCCTTATTGTGAATGTTTGCAATATATGTTGTTTTTCTATGGGCGTGACTTTTGCACTCGTAAATAAATTATTTAAAATTTAAACGAATTTTTTACCGTTTTAGTTGCATTAAGCTATTTTCCATTAGTTGCGTATACTGCCGTAAGAAGTTTATTTGGGATGTTTCTGTTGACAAAAATTCCTTAATGTTATCTCGATAAGCTGCTTCAGTTTTTGTTGTATTCGAAAAAATTATAAATGCTAATATAAACGTCGCAAGAAGTTTTGTTGTATTTATTGCGGCTAAAATGGCCGTTTTAAACGAACGGGTCATTGGCATTTTGAAAAACCGGCAGAAGTTGTTTGGTTTTGCCAAAATTGTTTATACTTTAGTTTTAGCTTGCTCAAGTTCAAGGCTTAAAGCGTTTCAAAGTAACGCTTATTTTATTGATTCAAATTATTATTGATACGTGAATTTTTAAAGCTTTTCTCTTGACCACACATTCGTCGTTCTTCTTAACGCTACTTCTTGTTAACGTGTTGTTCTCACAATTGCCTGAATATTACTGGCAACTATGCTTTCAACTGAGGCACTAAAAACCTACAGTGGCTTGTCTAAATAAAGCGCATATAAAATATAAGATCCGAGGCGATGCCATCTCATTTTGGTCATTTTGGTTATAACGTGTATAACAAATTTTCAAATAAAAACTATGGTTTTTCTTAATAATGTGAAATATAATTCTATTTTTATTGAATTTATGAAAATGAAAGTCAATGAGCATAGAAATTAGTTCTAAGATTATAGAAGAAATCCTTGTGTGAAATTGATTTATATTTATCCTGATATATTTCGCAAGGTCTAAGAAATTCCTGTCCTTCATCTAGAAACCATTCATTGCATACTAAATGTAGAAAATACATAAAATAATTATTTAAAATTAGCATGTCGATTCATATTTTTAAGATACGTTATATTGTATATATTATAATTCTTAATCATACTCCATTTTGATCCCTTAATTACAGGACAAGAAGCATGAAGTGTTCGGTAATCAGGTGATCCAGATCTATGGAGGTTATGCCAAACAAGTAAGCTATTTTTGATTGGAGGCACATTTATTCGTAAGAAAGGAAATGCTGTAGATCCGCCTAAGTCGACATCATTGATCTGTTATATATAATATATAAATACTGGTTTTATAAGAACATTAATTTGGGTTAAATTAGTTATTAGGCATACATAAAATAAGGCTGTTAATATTCGATTTCCTTCTTCCCCTAGATCTTCTAAATCGACATCCTAAGCAATACATTATAAAAAAATAACAACAATATTATTGTATTAAAAGTGCATACTTCTGTGAAATCAAAGTGTGGGTCATAATGACCCCCAATTCCATAATTTGCTATTTGTAATGCTTCAGAATACTCTAGATTTAACCCAGTCATATCCGTTAATCGATCACTTAAATTAATCAGATTTTTGTCCAATATTAAATCGAGCCACGTATTTTTACTAGTCCGTAAATTTGTATCAACAACATTATCTCCAATTCTTGATGCATTTAGATTATCATAGGCTATATCAATAATATAATCACTTTCAGTATTTGAAATCACATCGTAATATTGCACAATGTATGGCTTTAAATTATATTCTTCTAGTTTGAAGGGACCAATTATTCGATAAGCTACATTATTGTGAACATATTTACAGCGAAGTAAACGCTTTTCTGTTGCTGTTTGTACGTATTCTCCTCGGCATGTGCCTTCGTAAAGATCGTTTGACATGAGCTCCTAAATGTATTACATGTATTACATTTGAATTTAGGATGCATTTATATTCAATGAATTTATATTAGTATTTACGTTATGGTCCGCTATATACTCTTGATTCAGCTCATCGTCGTCAAACTCAGTATCAAAAGCAATGATCTCATCATATGTATACTCATCTTGGTCGAAAGTAGTAAGGCTTTTCTTTTGAAAGTTAAATTCATCTACAAGAAAATTATATTATCGACAATAAATTTTATAAAGAAACGTTGAAGTGTCTTAATCGGACCTTCAATTATTGTTGAATTGAATATATAATTAAGAATATCAGTAACTTTTAATTGTGGATAGCAGTTATCACCCATTTCGTTTACAAATTTTGTGTGTGATAGAAGAAACCATTCTTTGGCGTTTTTAAAATAACTAAGCTTGTGCAATAATTTACCAAATTCGAAGCAATCACATGCAGTCAATATTGCGCTAAATTATTTAAAAATTAGTTTCATGTTTAAGGTTAGCTTCATAATGTTATTACCTATATTTTTTTCCTAACAGTGTTCCATTTGCGATTTCACTTGTCGGTAATTTATAGGTCTTTTGTAATCTAACTAATCCCATTCCTGCACCAATAAGATCAGAGTACTCTGGTTGTTGGTACAATTCAGTAGGGTCATCAAAGTAAGTTTTAATGTTTGTTTCGAAGCCTAAATCGCAAAATATCAAATTTTTACTATAAGTATGTTAAAATAGTATATTTCTTACCTTCAACATTTGAATTATTAAGTATATTGCTGGATATTCTGTTCCATTCTAAGGATAATCGTTTAAGCATCTCTAGCATAAGCAGTGGGTTATTTTTATTAAATTCATTTTGTTGTTTAGTCTGTATTAATAGGTTTTCTTCTATATGTAGATATCTAATAACACAATTTTAAAACATAATATTTAATTTTACATACTATAAAAGAAACATACTGCGTTAAGGCATGTAAGTTCTTCAACTCATTTTCTAAATAAATTTCCAAACTTTCGACTAAATACATTTCGGCATAAAGTAATTTTTCTAAACCATTAATGGATGAGAAGTAATCGCAGTTACATTTCAGTAGAGTCAATGTCATTAAGATTAACACAATATTTGATTTCCATTCCATAGCGACTTTCAAAATGAATTTTAATCACAGAACTTAAACCCTTTTTATTTCTAAATATGCAAAACCTATAAATTGATGTATTAAGGCAACAACTTTCCGTAAACTACTAAATCTAAGATTTTTTTATTGAATCAGATTTTTGCTTTATTTCATATTTCATATATTGTTTTAAAATACATATATATTCTAAAATTAAATTCTAAAACATTTGAGTAAATAAGTACAAGGTACATCTATGTTAATAATATTTTTTATAGCGGTGATGATTGACTAAGCGAAAGAGTTGTTTTCAAAAATTTTTTTTTGTTAACATATTAATTAATTGACAGGTGCCACAAACGCAAGAGATAAATATGAGTCTGATTTAAGGTCGCAATTTAATATTTGTCCATATTCGTGTATCCATTCAGTGCCAACTAAATAAAATCAATAAACTTAGTATTTTTAATTAGGCAAAAATACTTACTCCATTTAGTGCCTTTTAGAACTGGGCATGATCCATGTCTAGTACGATAATCCCCTTCACCAGATTTATGTAAATTCCGCCATATTATTAAACTACCTCTAATAGGCTCCGCTGCAAAGCTTAGAAAGGGAAACGCTGTAGCACCTCCCATTTCTACTTTATTAAGCTAAACCAATAATTTAAAAAACAAAGTTGAAATGAATTTTAAACTGTATGGTACATTTAAGACTTAATAGTGTAATTCTTTAACTAACTTTAAAGTGAATCTTACATATAGCAAAGCTGTTTTAACTCGATTTCCACGCGATCCGAATTCTTTACTTGTCTATTGAAAAACAAACTGACTCAAAAAAATGTACTCAAATACCACAATTCCAAAGTACTCACATAACGAAAATCACAGTGTGGTTCATAATGGCCGCCAATTCCATAATTAGCCACCTGCAATGCTGTAGAGAAGTCCATTCTTAGTCCAGATATATCTTCCAAGCGTTGTTTTAGGTTGTTCATAGAAGGATTCTGATGATACCAAAGCCACGAATTTTTGCTGATACGCATTTCGGAATATATTCTCTCTTCAGTGCTAGCACCAAATACTCTCGATCGTTCGATACTTTTAGTGGACTTAAACAAAATTTCTTTGATCTCACTATCAGATATAATGTCGTAATATCTCGCAATATAAGGTTCCAAGCACAGTTCTTCAAGTTTAAAAGGTCCAATCATGCAAAAAGGTACGTTGTTATGAGAATACTTACATCGAAGATTTCGTTGTTGGGCTGGAGTTTGTGTTACTTCACCGCTGCAAACCTTCTCATATTGGTCTACCGCCTTGATCATTATTTCCTATAATAGTACAATACAATTATATATAACTCAATTTTAATTTTCATCCTTTATGACAAAGTCCTACTTTTTTTCTGTCAACAACATTTAATTGTGGTTGAGTTGTATGTTCCAATCTGAATCGGGCTTTACTCATTGCTTCAGAATAAAATTGTGCATTTTCCGAGGCAATCAAATTTGTGGAGTTTAGTTGTAGCATTTGTTTTGTTAACCAGTTGGCAAAAATAAGATCACCTTTATAGTTTTTAATTAAAATGTTATGATAACTTATTTAGAAGCGTAAGTACTAAAGTTTAACATATTAACCATTAAAATAGGAAGCTGCAGCAAGTTGTTCCAATATTTGTTCTTCTTCAATGAATAAGGAATCGATGGATTTATAAGTTTGTGAGAGCAGTTCTTGTGCGGATATCTTAAGGCTTTCTGTTAGCCATTCCATAGCATATACATAGTTTTCAGTTTGCATCAAATTAAGACCAAGATAAAATGCATCTGAGGAACTCAGAGGTGGACTATTAACATATATAAAATTAATTATTTAAACTGAAAACTCTCTAAAGAAATTAATCGCACCTAGCTTTTATTTTTCTGATGTATCCTTGTCTCACATCTTCAGTTTTTAGTCTATACGTTTTTTGCAATCTCGCTATACCTCGTGCAGCGCCCATCAGATCATCGGGATATGGTAGTTTTAAGTTTTCATGCAACTCCAGCGCTTTCATATGTTCTGTTTAAAAACTCTTGAAAGTTCCAATATTTGAGTGCTAATTTAAGCTAACTTACGATTCTCATTGGTTTCTTCTAATATGTAGTTTTGGGCGTTATACCAGTCTTTTGAAAAACGTTTTATAATTTTAAAGGCATTAATAGGATTATCATAATATGAATCGTTTTGGCTATCTCTATACTGAAGTTCGTCTTCCACATCATACAGAAATCTAATAGAAATTGTACAAAAGTAATTATAATATAGTTTTATAATATCGCTTAAAAAACTGTGATGATGTAATCTTATTTACTTTTGAATATTCAAATGTTTATGTTCTTCAACATATAAATAATCCTCAAGAGCATTTAAAAAATGTGCTTCAGAATCTATTAGAGTTTCTAAGCCAGTCGTCGATGTGTAAAAATCAGCATTTATATTTATGAATAATATAAAAATTTCAAAAAATATTAAAGTTTGTAAAGCCTTAACCATAGTTTTGAACTACACGTTGTTTTTAATTTGAAGAATAGGCAAATACTGATCCACATTTTTGTTGTCTATTCAAACGAAAACTATCTCGATGCTTCAAAAATGAAAATTATTTGTACAAGTGCTTTGGTATTTTGTATATTTTCTTAATTTTAATTATAAAAATTGTATTATTATTAACAATGGAGCAATTTAGTTTATCTCGTGATTAAGTTATAAGTTAAAAATTCCATTCATATGTAAATACAGTTTTTAAAAGTGATACATGCGAATTATTCGAAGATCCAGTGATCCGACAGTTAACATATGAATGAAACTTGCGAAGGATGGTATTCTATCGTCCTCGACAGAGCCCAAATGCGGGATATCCACTTCTCAGATTGCATAAATATTTAAAGAGAGCAGTAACTAGCAGTAACTAGCAGTAAAATACTTTTAATAACTAATAGTCAATGTATTACTACTTTTATATTTATTCTATATATATTCCTACTTCGTTACTGAATTGAATTTAAGCTCTAATTAAGTATTTAAATAGCTAGTTATAACATCAAAGTCGTTCAGAGAAAAAAAACAGTACTCCGAAGAACTTCACATACTAAGCGAATATCAAATGTAATACAATTTCTGTATGGCAGCTATTGCTCACCATAATGTCTAAATGGTTAGCATATCTGATCGTGACAGTAATAGAGTAAGGCCTCTGGTCTGTTCAAGGTTATACAGCAGCTAATTTAATTTTTATGTTGTGTCTTCAAAGCTATTTTAAGATATAAAAAAATATAAGTATTGGAGAACTAGATATATTGAATCAAAAATTAGATTCGTGAAATCCTAAGTTAAGTCCACAAATTTTGAAACTTATGCTTAATACCAAAATAATAAATGACTTAATTTAAATGCAACTTTAATTTTATATCAAAAAGATAAAAAAAATGTTAATGTCTTTAAAGTTTAAATAAAAAAACTAATATATATTCTTATAACCTATTGAAATGTTCCCATTTGGTTGTAACATACACGGACGCTTAAATTCTTGACCAATCTCATGAAACCATTCGTTGCAAACTAAAATAGAGAAATAGAGTAAATTATATTAAATTATATTATATTATATTATATTATATTATATTATATTATATTATATTATATTATATTATATTATATTATATATTTATATTTATTTTATTTATATTATATATATTATTTATATTATATTTATATTCATAGTACTATAGTTTTATTATATTATATTACTATACATGTAATCATATTATATCACTAGATTTTTATTATATTATACTATATTTTTTATTATATTATATTTCTATATTTCTTATTATTTTATATTTCTTTATTTTTTATTTTATTATATTTTAATATTTTTTTTTATTATATTATATTATTTATTATATTATATTATGTCATAGTACTATAGTGTTTATTATATTATATTACTATACATGTTATCATATTATATCACTAGATTTTTATTATATTATACTATATTTTTTATTATATTATATTTCTATATTTCTTATTATTTTATATTTCTTTATTTTTTATTTTATTATATTTTAATATTTTTTTTTATTATATTATATTATTTATTATATTATATTATGTCATAGTACTATAGTGTTTATTATATTATATTACTATACATGTTATCATATTATATCACTAGATTTTTATTATATTATACTATATTTTTTATTATATTATATTTCTATATTTCTTATTATTTTATATTTCTATATTTTTTATTTTATTATATTTCAATATTTTTTATTATATTATATTGCTATATTTTTTATTATATTATATTATATTATATTATATTATATTATATTATATTATATTATATTATATTATATTATATTATATTTTGTTGCATTTCGTTTTACTTTATTTTACTGAATGTTATATTGAACATATTTCTAAGGAGTACGGTGTTTTATTTACGGAGTACGGTATTTTATTTACGTACTCCATTTAGAACCTTTCAAAACAGGACAACCAGCGTGCTTAGTGCGGTAGTCATATTCAAGTGATTCATGCATGTTGTACCAAATTAGAACACTGCGTCTAATTGGTGACACGGAGAGGTGCAGAAATGGAAAGGCTGTTGCTCCGCCGAGTTCAACGTCATTAATCTAAAAGGAAAATATTTGTTTGAAATATGAATATTTTAATATTATTATTAATATTAATATTTTACATAGAATAAAGCGGTAAGTATTCGATTACCGGTTCCTGGAAATGAATCTGGAATCTGCAAAAGAAATATCACAGTTGTATTTGTAGAACAAGTTTAGTTGGCTTAAAACATGTTAATGAAACTACCTCTGAAAAATCGTAGTGCGGTCCATAGTGACCACCTATACCATAGTTAGCTACTTGTAGTGCTTCTGCACTTGTCAAATCTAACAGTGTTATGTCATGTAAACGTTGTCTTAAATTTTCTAAGTATTTGTGATCATTGTGGTGTAACCAAGAGTTTTTACTTGTTCTTATTTCAGAATATGCTTGCATAAGACGGTCGCCTATTTTAGATCTTTCAACAATGTTTACTGTTTTATTGATTATATAGTTAATTTCATTTTCATATATCGCTTCATGGTAATATGCTACTAAAGGATCTTGATTAAGTATCTCCATTTTAAAGGGAGCAATTGTGGCAAAAGGAGTATTGTTAGTAACATAGCGACAATGAAGAACGCGTTGTTGTGTTGGCGTTTGCGTAATTTCTTTGCGGCAAACCTTTTCGTATAGTTCCTGCAAGTTATCCTTTTTGAAAAAAAAAAACAGCTTGATAAAGTGTATATTAAATTATACAATACAGCATTTCTCAAATACCTTTTTTTGGTTAGAGTCAGTAACGTAAAGTGTACGTCTATCATCTAAGAGATTCTGAAGAATAATAATTTTATTTTGTAGCCCTTCCTGACTTTCGGGATCCTGGATTAAAAGTTTAAAATTGAAACGCTGTGCCATTTTTAAGTTGCCTTAAAGAAAATTGGAATAATAAATTACAAAGGATTTATTTCATTTGTTTAGATTAAGACTTGCCTATACTGAACATAGTAAGTGATAAGTAGTGCAAAATTTGTGCATCGAAAACGCGTGGAAAGGTAAGTGTATAATTTATGTCTAAACTTTCATTTTCTAAGCGAACTTTTGCTTTCATTAACCACTCAATAGCAAATTGAAAATTTGAAGTTTCATATAAGGTGACTCCTAATTCAAAACAATCTGCTGCTGACAGTTGTCTGCTTAACACTTTTCCAAGTGCTGTGCCATTTGCTATGTCGTTGGTACTGATATTATATGTTTGTTGCAATCGCACTAAACCGTTACTTGCGCCTTGTAAATCTTCTCTTGTTGGCCATTTAAACCCCACTCCTTCAAGTTTTGTTAAATTTTGTGAAAATACTATGTGCGATATATTGTGTATAATTTCTTAAAATACATGTGATATAGATATATGACTATATACCTTCGGCAATTTCATTAGTAATGAATAGTTTTTCCACTTGTTTCCAGTCTACCACCAATCTTTTTAATATTTTAAATGCGTGCAAAGGGTTTTGATAGTGCGTTTCCAATAATGTCAATGAGCTATTCATTTCTTTCTCCATATCAAAAACTATCCTGTATTAGCAGTTAGATATATAATTTTAAATTGAATAACTTCTTTCGAATATTGTAAAACAATATTTTTATACTTCTTACCTTTTCACTGCATTGTTCACTTCCTCTGCCTGTGTAATGTAAACGTCAAAAAGTTCTATTAAGTAAAATTCCACACTCAAAACGTCGTCCAAACCTGCTATGGAAGTGTAATAATCACAGTTACTAGATTTCATAAAAATAACTTGTAATAAAAATAATGATATGCTAATGGATACAATCATAGCGAAACAGTCGTATCAAGATTTCGAAGAGAACTAATTCACTGTTAATTGCATGACGTTACTGACTTGGTCTTCATATTTTTTGGTTTTTGTGATTGCCATCCTAAAGCATTGATGAATAATGGTGCATATTTGTTTCGGCTTGTTTGCACAGCTGCTGGATGAATGTTTAGTAAATGAGTTATTTATGTTAGAGAATTTAAAGAAACACTGGACATTTAATGACAAATGAATTACAACAAACAAAACATACTTCATGTTATGTTACGTGTTATACTCTTCATACTAGTATTTTGAATAGTATTTAAGACATTCGTCGGGGAGATTTGAACCCTGAAACATCCACTGAACCACGCTTTTATAAAATAACGAGTGGAAATGAGCTCATTTAAGATACGAGTATATATATATATATATATATATATATATATATAGTTATATATATATATATATATATACATATACATTATATACATATATTGGATAAATGTAAATATGCAGCTAAAAAAGTTTAATAGTAAATAGCAGAATAGATGATTATTAAAATAACTATTTGCGTTAAAAATATTGAGCTTTTTTTTATGTTTAAATTTTATTGAATTGTTTTTACACACAAAAAAAACTGTATATTGAATATAACTGTACGCAGCGGATCTTGAAACAATGCATATTTCTAATTTTTTATACTGACAGCAACAACTAATTATGGAACTGAATGCCCACCGGCAGCCCAACTGATAACAGTAACTTAATGAAATCATAGTCATTGGCATTCGTACGAGTCTACACAATCGGTATCAAGCAATATCTCAGCGTGTACAAGTTACTCCACTTTAATTTATTTTATCAGTAAAGAGACCAGGTTCGGCACCAACATTTTAAAGCAACTATTAGAAATTGTTGAAGTAAGATTTATGAAAACGCAAATGGGCGTCATTAGCACTTCGGCACCTTAATGTAAAGAACTTCATTTAAAATATAAAGTTCCATATTAAAACTATCTTATTAAAGAATTCTAGTATAAATTAGGTTTTAATTGAACACCCGCAACCGCTACTGCCAAAATTAAAAAACGAAATTATCACTGCAAAAATTTAACAATAACGTTGGTGTATTATCTTAACAGAATACTTCAAAATAAACGTATAAAAGAAAAAATGTACAAGTTCTCGACTTTTATCACAACTAAGTATTGGATCGAACGGTTATTTGATCGCTTTCAAATATAAAAGAAAATCACGTAGACAAAAAAGAACGTCGCGACGTTTACTTCTTAGGAGGATGTACTCTCAACAATTAAAATATGTGCTTGTGCTATTGCTTATTAATGCGGCATTATGTCAAAACATTAAGGAAGAAAAGAGTTTCACCACTGCTATCGCGAACATGGAGCGATTGCTAAGAACAGAGATTCAGCTTATAGCAGAGTTAGAAAACTTTGCCAATGAATTACAAACAAAACTGAGTATCATACGCAGGTATACTAGTCTGGATCTATGAGTTAAGAATAATAGTTTTAATATTTGTATTAGCGGTGCGGCTATGATGCGGCGGGAAAATCTTAAATCAAAAAGTGATCCAGAGAAATATTTATCGAATCCCTTAAATGCGTTTTCACTTATGCGTCGTATGCAAGCAGATTGGATTAGTTGGGAACTGTTTATGTCGAAATCCGTTGGTGAAGGTAAACATGTGTTGACCAAATATAAGAATGCTAAGATTGCTTACATTGTACGAAAAAAATAAATAAATTTTTTAGCTAATATAAAAGCTGTGCAGCAGTTGAGGGAAAATGTGCCTGACGCTAAAGATCTCTCCGAAGCAATATCAGCAATTTACCGCCTGCAAAGAACTTATGACTTAAAGGCATCCGAAATGGCAGCTGGTTACTTACATGGCAATCAATATGAGTAAGCTAATCTTATAAAGATATGTACTTTTAGCAGTAATGTTTCAAAATAAATATAAACTATTGTCAATTTGTGTGTCTTTAGGGCCAAACTATCATCACTCGATTGTTATACAATAGGAGTGGGGCTGTTTGATCGAGAGATGTACTATGATGCAGGGTTCTGGTTATATATCGCGCTAGAGTTATATGATCAAAATGATCTTTTTACTGCTATTGAATTTAATAAAGTGAAGATTTTAGAAATGTATGCGGAAACAATGCTGAAGCATAGTAAGAATGCATATGTTAATATATTTTTTGAAAATACTTTTCATTCTATAACTTGAATTTTAGATAGACCAGAAGATGCTCTTTTAGTATTAGATAAAGCAATTGATTTATCTCCGCGAAGTGCAACACTTCTGAGTAAAAAAATTGATATTAAAGCAAAGATAAGAGTAGATAAGTCACCACCCAAAGTTGTAAGTTAATATTATTGCAAAGAAATAAATAAGTAATAAGTCTGAGCATATTTATCTAGTATTCGATTAAGGAACCATCTGACTATGAACGAGGATGCCGTGGAGAATACGACGATAAAATGCCTCAAATGTATTGTACTTTTAACACCACGACTACGCCATTTTTACGAATTGCACCTCTTAAAATGGAGATTGTGCAATTAGATCCCTACATGGTTATCTACCATGATGTGATATCCGACAAAGAAATAGCTATTCTCAAACATATGGCAATACCACAACTAAAAAGAGCTACAGTCTATAGTGAAAATTCTAGTAAAAGTGTTGTGGTTGACAGGCGAACTTCTCAATTCGCGTGGTTTTATGATAAAACAAATGATGTGACAATACGACTCAATGAGCGGATAACTGACATGACAGGTTTTAATTTGGTGGGATCGGAAATGTTGCAGGTGATGAATTACGGTCTCGGAGGTCATTATGATACACATTATGACTTTTTTAATGTTTCTGCGGTAAGTAATATGTTTTATTTCGCCAAAGTTTCTTAATCTTTTCACAAGTTAGGATACCGAAATTATACGTACAACTGGAAATAGAATTGCAACTGTCCTATTTTACGTAATATATATAAAATTTTTTTATATGATAATATTAACAGTTATAAGTTTCATTAGTTAAGTGATGTTGAACAAGGAGGTGCAACGGTTTTTCCAAATATAGAAACATCTGTTTTACCAAGGAAAGGCATGGCAGTTATGTGGTATAATCTTAACAATAGAGGGGACGGAAATTGGTTGACATTGCATGCAGCTTGTCCTGTTATAGTTGGATCCAAATGGGGTGAGTTTGAACCGTTCATCGTTTGGTACAGATAACACATACTGAATATCTTGTACACATCTTAATTTAGTATGCAATAAGTGGATAAGGGAACGAAATCAACTTTTTACAAAGCCCTGTGCCAGGGAGTAATATATGATCTAATGAAATGTTAAAAATGGAATGAAATATTAAAATCTGTTATAGAAACTAATTATTAAAGCTAAAATAATATAATAATCTTGTTTAATTATTGGTTATATAATATTAAGTGTGTGGCGGTTGCATATTCACATGATCTAGGTTGGCCATGCAAATTCGGACAAATAAATTATTGAAACTAATATTTTGATTTAGTTAAAAAACGAAAGTTGTCATTCGTACACGTATAATTATTGTACTCGAAATTGAATTATTTATAATAAATAAACATTAAGAATTAAGTAGGGCAAAGCCTACAATTGGTGACCCCGACGTGATAAAAAATGTCGCAAGTAGAAGCAAGTAACAATAGCGCACTGGATAGAAATAACATTCCTGCAGATAGTAATGTATCAAATGATTACAGAAACGAACAACCTCGAGGTGACATTTGTCGTATCGGAATCAAAGCACCAGCATTCTGTAAGAGGGATCCAGACCTCTACTTCATCCAGATGGAATCTCAATTCAGAAACGCAGGAATTACAACTGACCAAACCAAATATGATCATGTAGTCGGCAGTCTTGACAGCGCTACCTTAAGAAATATCGCGGACATTGTTCGTGCTCCCCCTGCTGTAGAAAAATACGAAGCGGTTAAGAAGCGACTAATTCAAGACTTTGCAGACTCCGAAAATCGAAAACTGCGGCGACTAGTTCAGGAGTGCCAGTTAGGTGATAGCAAGCCAACAGATTTGTTGCGCACCATGCGCGATTTAGCCAGCGGCGCCATGAATGATGGAGCAATAAAACAATTGTGGCTGGATCGTTTGCCTGAAGCAGTGCGAGCAGTCGTTTCAATTTCGGAGGCTGACTTGGACAAATGTGCGCAGCAAGCAGATCTGATGTTGGAAATGGGAAACTACAATTCTGTAGCTGTTATCAACACATCTGCACAGAATAATGATCATATCATGAAAGCCATAGACGCCTTGAGTAAGCAGGTTGCGGAATTAAAAACTGCACAAAGACGAAGCAGAACAAGATCTCAAACTCCAGATCGCAAGCGACATCATTCAACCCGTACTGATTCACAAGTAAAACGTTATCCTATGTGTTACTATCACTATCGTTTCGGTGTGGAAGCAAAAAAATGTTCCTTGCCGTGTAGTTTCAATCAACAGGGAAACCAATAAAGACTTCATCGGTGGCGGCCGATGAAGTCCAATTTGTAAATACGTCTAGCCGCCTGTTCATCACGGATCGAAACACACAATTCAAGTTCCTGATAGATACTGGAGCTGATCTCTCAATACTACCAGTGTCTCGATTCAAAAACTCCAAGCTACAATCAACATCGCGATCATTGTATGCAGCGAATGGTTCGGCTATTCCAACCTACGGTAACAAGTTGCTGTCAATGAACTTGGGCCTTCGTAGGAAGTTCGATTGGAATTTTATAATCGCCAATGTTTCAAAACCATTTTTGGGTGCCGATTTCTTGAAACATTACGGTCTTGTGGTAGATGTAAAACGTAGATGCCTGAGCGATACGCAAACAAAGTTGAGTACACAATGTGCATCGGAACACACTGGATATGAGCCAGTCTTTTCCATTCAGAATGACCACAAATTCAAAGAGCTTCTAAACTCATTCAAGGAGGTGACAATGCCTGTTTCATATAACTACAATAACGAGCCTAAGACTACGGTTCGTCACCAGATTATCACTACTGGTCAGCCTGTTTTTTCGCGTGCACGGCGGCTAAATCCGCAAAAACTGCTTTAAGTGTATTTTTAAACAATAGAAAATCTCTCCTATTGAAATTTGGGTCTACTTTGCTTAACTGCTCCATGAACATAAACATTTTTAGGTAACATTATAATATAGATTATAACAAGCATTATGAAAGTGGATGACTTATAATATATGCGTACATACATATATTGTAGATAAAAAGATTGGAGGTTTTAAGTTTAAATTAATTGAAGAAAGCAAATTGTGTTAAATGCAAGAAACAATGATAATAATTTAGACTAAGCCTGTCCTTAAATTTGCCTAAGATTTACATTAGAGTAGTTGCTTAAATATATTGTTTTAGGTTTTCTCTGATGATTGCAATACGTTTAATAAGTTGAAAATATCTTAAATTTATAATTTTTTGAACTCTTAAACCTCTTCTTAGCACAATGACCCGAGCAAAGTCTGGCTTATAAGCTCGAACGAGTTTAGTTCTAACATTCTTTTAAAAGCTTTCTTCTATGGGTTAAAAGCTTAAATGTTTGAAAAAATCAAATATATTTTCATAGATAAAGGTTAATTTACTTATTGACGCTAGCCGGATGAGAGTGTCAGAGTTTTGCGTACGAAGTGTAGTGTATATCATGGAAATTTCTGTTAAACAATTCCATCATAATTTTGTGAATAAATTTTTCGGCATTTTACTTTTATTAATTATTTTAAACAATCATCCTTGTGCAAAATGCGAGTTTTACTCGTCGGTTCAAGAATTATCAAAATTATTCAAGTATGAGACATATTTTTTAACTAATATGGAGAAGTTTATCAAGGAAAACGAAAATAAATTGGTATTTTTGAAGACGTGAGTACTAAATCAAAAGATGAATATCATATAAACATTTAGTATATTTTTAATAAAATAGACGACTTATAGAAATGGAAACTGAACACGATGAAGCGCTTTCGATTGGATTAGAGTACTTTGAAAATCCCGTTAATAAATATCTGTTAACAAAGCGTCTTTTAGTAGATTGGGAGCGGGTGCAAAACTTAATTGAACATAAATCTGGAAAAAGTTTGTTTAAATGAACATATTGTTTATTTTACAACGCTATTATTTTAATTTTTCTGTAGAACATTTGGATAAAATCAAAAAAAGTATGCAAAAAGAGATGTTTCCTGATGAATCGGAATTGAGAGGAGCTATCGAAGGATTTTTACGTTTGCAAGACATATATCGGTTAAAGACTAACGATATGGCCTCTGGTGTACTGCAGGGTAGAGTGTATCCGTAAGCAATATTCTACTTTTATATTATTTCGATCAATCTAATTATATTTCTTGCTTATGATTTATTTAGTACTTATTTAGATGCGTCACTCTGTTTCGATATAGGTCAACAAGCCAGTAATATTAATAAACCAAAACTGGCACATTCTTGGTTTTTGAAAGCTTTGGACAAAAATGGTGATCCTAACAAAACTAATTTAACACTGCAGATTAAAATTCTTGATTCGTTGGCTCAAAGTAAAATTGTGTTGAGAGATTTTAGAGGTGCAAATCAAATATATATGAAATTGCTATTGCTAACACCGGATAATAAAGCATTTGTTAAGAAATATGCCAGCTTCCTAGAAAAATATAGGAAACAGATTATTTTAGAAGTGGACTTAATGGATGAACACGAGGTATAACATATTTTAAGCAAGTTTTAAGACGTTTAATGTTAATAACAAATTGCAGCCACTACCTGTTAATATGTACAATCTTAGTGAAGATGACGCCTATAAGTTAACTTGCAGTGGATATTTAAAACGTAGTGCTAGTGAAGAACGGTACTTAAGGTGCGGATATTTAACAGAGACACATCCCTTTTTAAATTTAGCACCAATTAAAGTTGAGGAACTAAACCATGATCCTTTGTTGGTACTTTATTATGATATAATATCCGATAATGAGATTGCGGTTATGAAGGAGTTGGTTCATAACAGAATTCAAAGAGCGACCATTATTGGACATAATGGCTCAGTTATATCTCCCGTTCGAACTAGTCAGTTTGTTTTCTTACCAAAATCTCAACATAGATTGTTGGAAACGATTGATAGACGCGTGGAAGATATGACGAATCTTAATATGCTTTATTCAGAAGATCATCAGTTTGCAAATTATGGTGTCGGTGGACACTATGCACAACATTATGATTGGTTTTACAATGCAGTAAGTTTCACATATTGTATTAATATTTTTTAATCATTTTTATATTTAAAACTTTCATAGGATAAATCCTTAATAGCATCTCCAGAGATGGGAAACCGCATCGGAACAGTTTTGTTTTATGTAAAAGTGACAATATCATTTGTTTATAATAATATAACTGTGAATACTTTGTAGCTTAGTGATGTCGAACAAGGTGGAGGAACAGCGTTTCCGCACTTAAAGACGCTGCTGATGCCTAAAAAGGGAACAGCAGCATTTTGGTACAATTTACATGCTTCGGGTGATGGTGATATGCGTACTTTACATGGTGCTTGTCCTATAATTGTTGGATCCAAATGGGGTACATCTTAAAATATAAAATTTTGCTGACATTTTAAACACAGTTCTTTTATCTGTAGTTCAAAATCGATGGATCAGAGAATTCTATCAGGACGAACGACGACCATGTCTCATGTATAATGACAAAACGTAAATAAAGGTTTATTTATGTTATATGCATATTGCTTAATACTTATAGTTCTTCTAAGAAAACAACACAAGTTATTAGTTTAGAAGTCTCTTTATATGAGCCTTCAGATAAATGTAGATTTAATTATTATTTAATTTATATAAATACATTTAAGTTACAATTTGCTTAATTTTCTTAATGTTCCAGATAAAATATTTGTAAATAATGTATTTTAATATGACTTCTTATTTAACAAACATCTATTAATAAATCTGTGTTTTTATATAAACACCAACATTTTTACAACTAAACATCACACTTATATTTCTAAAAATTACACATTTAAAACAATTTTCATTTCATTTAATAGTAATAATTATTGTTCGAAAGGACACCGAGTGAGTTTTGCGTGTAAATACTTTTAAGTTTACTAAAATTTAATTTTTTAAATTCGCTTTAAAGTTTTGATTTCAGGTAAAATATATTTTGAGTGTTATTTTCTTCTTTATATTAGGAAAAGTCTGTGCTTTGTTGAGTCATTTCTTTCTCATTTGGTGGTTCTTTATCAGTTTGTAATTTGTCTTGTATAAAACAATGATTAAATTACTTTTCAAAGGGGATTGTCTTAAGGAGCACACCTAACATTAATATACGAGAGATTGTGTACTATATACGAGTATGTATACATGTTCCATGAATCTCATATTTGAACAATTTTAGTTTTTTTTAATATATGTATTTTTTCTTATAATATGCGTATGATAAAATTACAAAAAAGTTTTATTAAAAAATATTTTTCGTTTAGTGAAATTACAGTTTCTTAATTGTTTCTTAATTAGTTTTCTTCAATACTTAAAATAGTATCATATCGTAATTTATACGTGATATATATTTTTTGTTTAACATTTAAAATTAGTGCTTCACATAAAACACATACGTATGATAAAGGATAATATGCATATTTATATAATATTCGGAATGGATATGTCAACACACATTAAAATTTTGGTTTTGTCATTTTTTATAAGTTTTTGAATATAGTGCCGATCATTCTGATCTTTCAAAACAACATTAAGATTTCTACTTAAGAGTACAACATTGAAATTTTCTTATTTTGATTCTTAATGTTTTTAAAATGGTTTTTGTTTTTTTCTTTTGGTATGTTTAATTGAAGCTAGTTTGCTTATATCTCATAATTACGAAATTTATTGGCTACATCAGAATTTTCTGTGCCCCATTCTGTCTTGCGATTGCCATAATAAAGCGCAGCTCCACCTTCTGAAGCTCGACGATGAGCCGGATTCGGTGACGCAGCTGATAACCCTCCACTGCTTGCAGAGCTTGCAGTAGATCCACCAGTCTCTGGTAACATACGATCTTTGGTTTTTGGCGTCACCCAGTGCATAGACTAAGAAAACATATAACAAATTTATAAAAGATATTTAAAAAATTAGATCATTTATTTAAAAATTAAAAAAAATGTACGTGCAAATACTAATGGATGCAGAGGTAGGGCAGTGTTATAGACAGAGAAAGGTAAAACTAGAATTAAGAACTTTTTGGAGATTTATTTTCTTGTTACAAAATATTATTCCTTAGTGTGGGGAAAAATAATAAAAACCTTAAGTTATACGAAATCGCCTCTTACGCATATTAAAATTAATTACAATATAAGGCTTACTTTACAGATGAGTAATGAACATCAAAAGCGAATTTCCATAATTATGTGTGCCAAATGAAATATTTGGTTTGCATCGAGATAAACTTATATATTATCTGAGGTATGATATATAACGAATTATTTTTTAATAGAATATTTTTTTTAAAACATATGACACATATAAGAACGTACAAAACTAACTTTGAGTACTTTCAAATCATAAAACTACGTTAACTTTCGGATTTGAGGTAACACATAACTAAACAAAAACAGTAAATTCTGAGATTGTGCAGCATTTAATCAGATCCAAGGTACATATCAGGTGGTAAGCACTGTTTATTTATTTGTTAAGCCTCATACCTCTTTATCCACTTTTTCAGCAATTGTGTATCTTCTCACCTGACCCACATGTTCCTTCATACCCAACCAGTTTTTATAGCTCATAGCAATGCCACTATTCCGCCACTTGTCGTAGTTGGCGCGTCTTTCAGGATCGCAAAGCGTTTCTTTCGCTTCCTGTTCGGAGGAATTTAAAAGTAAATATAAAAATTTATAAAAATATCAAAATTAATGTGATAATTTTTTATGCCTATGCCTTAAATAAGCAAAACATAGACCGGTAAATAAATATTACTTATTCACTGCATAGTCTTAAGCAGTAAAGTAAATCGCTGAAATTAACTGAAGCAAAATGTGCTTGAAAATCCACAAAGCTATTTATAGACGAAAAGAAAGAAAAGGATGCTTTTGAACTTTTATAATGGAACATCATGATAAATATAGGTTAATCAATTTATTTATTCCTCATTGAATATTTGGGTCATTCAAGAGCATTTGAAACACAGTTATGGTTTATACTTACATAAAACATACAAACTACAAACACGAACTTATGAATATTCTCGCTATTGATTCGTGGACTTAGTATCTTTTGTAAGCATTAGAAACAATTTTTTATTATTAGAAGTATATCTAAGTTTAACTAACTTTTGTCTATTGGCAGAAAGTTTCAATTTATACTTAAAGTAAAGGTAAGTAAATATAATAGTTAGGTATTTGTATATCCATGTTTGTAATATAAATTGTGTTGATTTGAATTTTTCGGAACACCATTGACGTGTTCAAATATGCAACAACTCATAATGAAGAAAGTCAATTTCAATATAATGCTATCTTTTCGTGTTAAAATAAGTTTTAATTTCCAATAGCAACAAGAAAAACGAATAAAATTTTCATGAAGTAACAAAAATTGTAAGTACCGCACCGAAGTATGGAATGAATGCACATATTAAATTACATGATGTTGATTTTCATTGAAATTAAAAATAAATGAAAATATGTAACAGCAAAAAGTCATCGCATAACAATAGAAGTAGCAATTTATGAACGTTTATGACACGTTTCAATGCAAAAACACTCAAGTGTTTGCATTTCCATTAATATTTGCAACTCGGTATGCATGTTATCTGGATCCTTTAGTCGTGTGTCAGTTCCTTTGCATTGCGCTGGCAATGTTCTTATTTTTGCGTTTTCATCTACATTTCTGTCTAAACAGTAGAAGCATGTAGGACACATATGAGGCCAATATCCAGCGATACTCATATAAAATCAAAACTCCAAGCATTTTTTTACCCTTCGATGGTATCTTCAGAAAATATTTGCGTGTTCAATTAAATGCAGCTTTCCATTTTGTGAGTAGAACGATTTTCATGTTTAGAGCTAAGCAAACCTATCATATCATTGGCTACATAAGCTAAAAATCGAATTCGATACATTGTTGAAAATACCTATATGTCATTCCAAGTAGTGTCCATCGGCAGTAATAATATTTTTTCATGACAAGCGGTTGACGGTTGAAGTCGACCTTGGATTAAAGTGAAAAATATTCCAGAGACAATATTTTGCAATGAGCTATGAAGGTGGTAATCGTAAGACGTGCTGGCTAAGATATAACTTGTATGCTTTTAGCGTAATACTTTTAACCGATGCAACAACATGCCGCTAATCATTTGATGTCTGATTACATATTCCAACCATTTGTTGGTTATGACACCAAATGAATTATTTGTTATTTGTACAACTCTCCCGTCATAGTATCATCAGATTTAAGCAACACATAAGGAATGGCATTCTTCTGATGCTAATAAATATAATGGATCTATTTGGCACCATGAATACATATGACAAGTTTGTCATTGATTTATCACTAGTAGGAATTTAATAATTTGTTGGCTTTTAAAAGAGCTTCAATAATTTTAGGTACTTAGAAATCACTCCTTATATAAAGTCGAATGATTTTGTATGCTTGCCGTAAACATAAATTTTGGTAGAATAATGTCTACGATTCTTCTTTCTTGATGTCAAAACATTTAATTTCGCTATGACACCTTCACAATATAGTTCTACTACCTATACGATAGTGACTATTGGCTGTAGTGTTCTAGGCAAAAAAGTAACCCAACAAAACGTCCCGCTAATACGATTTCTTTTCCAATTTTCATAATGTAATAGTAATCAATAATAAATATTTTGTACACAATTTTAAATAAAAAATTACGTTTATTTTTGTATTTGTGAAAGAAACAAATATCTTTGATATTCAGGTTCTATATCAATTATCTATCTCTTATTGTTTCAATATAAATTAATGAAATTCAGTCAAGTTGCAAATAAGTTTCAACTAAAGAAAAAGCTAAAATCAAAAGTAGAAAAGTTCCTTTATAAGCACTTACCTTAAGTTTTTGAAATTTCATTTCAGCATCCTTCTCACCGCTGTTCTTGTCTGGATGAAACTGCAACGCCAAAACCTTGTATTCCGCCTGAATTTGTTCAACCTGTGAATTAACAAAAACCAAATGAGCATTTGTCACTTTTTAATCATAAAAAACTCGTTAGCAAACACAAATCATTTTTTATTATTCAATGTAATATCCAGTTTTAGTAAAATTTCTATTTAAAGATGTTTTTTTTTAATTCAAGATTTAGGTTTTGAATAAATTTTCACAGAAACATGAAGACGTTCAAGACCCTGCAATATTTTCCATTGGAATCCATTGGAATAGTTTTTTTTTCATTGTATGACAATGTGAACGTACTTTATTTTATATTTTTTAATTAAATTTTGTTTAAGTACCTTAATTGGGGGAAGAACGTCTCAGTTTCCCAACTAAAATATTTGACATTTATTATTATTGAAATAGGTTTGTTTTTCAATATTAAGCTATTATAGTTTACAGAAAAGATTAATATAAAAAGTATTGATATAAAAAATTAGAAGAATCAGAAATGTATACAAAAAATCATAGTCACGTACTTGTTACAAAATAAATAATTAAATAAATAAATTATTCGAATTTATTTAGTAATTGTGGCATTTACATTTAATTGTCATAATATCTTTTGTAAACTATGAATAGTTATCATACCTATATAATATACAATACAATATAATAACATATTGAGCTAATAAAATTTAGCAATTCATACTGGGAATGCACTTTAAAAATGTGTAGCTAACTTATCGAGATGATAATGATAATCAATTATCGATTATCGAGTTTCAAGATAAATTTTAAGAGGTGTTAGGGTTGGGATAGAACAAGCAAGTATGTGCAAATTTACTTATCTCTTAAATTGAGGAGTTTTAGTTTCATTTTATAGTTTTTAAAAGGTTTTTGAGTCAAATTAATGCAATTTACATGTAATCAATTTATAAATATTTATATAAAAGATTTTTAAACCAATTTTATATCGAAATATGTTGTTTTGAATTTAGATTGCATTTTAATAGTTAATTGACTTAACTAATGCTATAGCATAATAAGTATACTTACCGATGAATTTTCATCACAATTGAGCATTCCATAAAAATCTTCATCCGGGTTTCGTTTGAAATTGATAACAGAATCAACGGCACTCATTTTATATGTTATTTTTTAATCGTTCTGTTGACGATTTTTTAGCTACGAGTTAAAAAATAGAATAAACAAAACACTAATTAATTTTCTACATATGTATTATGATTTTTTTCAAAATACACATATTATCTATTGTTGTTAGCCAAATCGTAGGTCACGAATGCTTTGAATTACTCGAATATGAAATTGAAAAGTGAATCAAACTAAATGAACGCAATACTGGTTTTCGATTACCGAATTGATTACCGAATATTTAAACAATGTTTTGTAGAAATACGAACAAACTGGATGTATTCGCCCTGTTTTTACGCAATTTATAAAACAAAATAAATCCTACATTACTTTCAAAGAACTTATTTAAATGTGACACAAAAAACAATAAAAGTGAATGAGCTTAACAGAAGATAATGAGAAACTATTAAATTTTTATGCATTACTAAATTTTTATAATTACTTAATTTTTATTTCAAACTGAAATAAATCTCAACAACAACAGCGCGTTGTTGTCGCTGGCCACACGTCAAAACCGAAACTGCCACCGTTGTTTGTATTCAAAAATGAAACGATGATTAAGCGAATATCTACGAAGAGCAGCGCGGGCTTTACTGGAAAGTTATAGCAACAAATGAGATGAAAGCAATTGGAATAAAATCAAACGCCACATCTTTTGTATGCAATGAGTTTGTCTTAAAGGGAAGTGATTAAAATGTTTTTGATTAAGATTTAAAGGTTTAAATCAGGGTGAGAGAACTGTAAACCTACGAAGAATGGGCATATATAGCTTTTAAAAACAACTTAATTTCATTTCTCTGATTGCATTGGCTTTCAGTGGCGCAAATCTTCTTATTAAAACCTGTGCCCTTTAAACGGCTAAAAGGTAAGAGAAATTCTTGGATGAATTTGGTGCTAAAATTGATTTTGTCATATTGGTGCATAAATAAACTAGCTTTTCCAGTATTAACAGATTTCTATTTTTCTCACTCATAAAAAGCTTGAAAGCTTTTGTTCTCTTGTGGACAAGTAATTATTTGGAAAAGCTTACTATCACACAAAAAGTTTTATGTGAATTGAGCTTAAACAAGCTTTCAATTTTGCACTTGTTGCATCAAAAAATTTCTAGGTATAAGCATTGAGTATAAGGCATGTTTGAGGCATTTTATTAAGATGATTACATAGAAAATTTAATTAATGTTGAAGCATGATTATGATGCAAATAAAAAACATCTAACAATCAAATTATATTTCATTTGAAATTAATATTAAAGTACATCCATATTTACAGGTACCATTATCTGCGAATGTTCGTTTGTTCGCAAGCGTTCGCTTTGTGTGAATGCACCTTTAGGTGCTTTCGGCAGCTCGCAAGTGTAACAGAAATCAGAAAGTTGCTAGCCTATAGGTGCTAAACGAGGCATTGGCATCACTGTTGCAATCTGTCAATTATTACGTTTTCGCAAATAGTAAATCTTGCATATGTGCCCCTAAATCAAATAAACTACATTTTTTATAAAAATAAATAATTAATATAAAATTGAAAATCAAAATGAATAACAAATATAAAGCAATGTTAAGAATGCATGAAGTAATGAAATTTCCTTTAGCAACAAAATTAATAGTAGTTTAGAATATTTATGCAACTAATAAGTTAAAAAATTTAAATAATTTTCAATCAATACTTTCCTTATGTATTTGCAAATAAAATTTTTGTATATTTATTATGTACATACTATTTATTTTTCACAATTTTGCAAAATTTTTAAATATTTAACTTCCACAATTATTAAATTTGTGAAACTGTTTAACTTTGTGTACAAAGTTTTGACTTATGATTCGAATATTTGATGAAATTTCCAATGAAGGTTCACAATAGTTTGCTTATTGCGTTTGTAATGTTTTTTTATTTAATGACCAAACTGTTTGGTCACTTCACAATTAGGTGCTTAGACAGAGAAAGTAGTGTTGTTGTTTTGCGTACATTTAAGCAACTATATGTTAAGCCAGCAACTTATTGTTTTTTGCCACACTTGCGAGTTGCCGAAAGCACCTATTATACAGCCATAGTCAAAAGTATTTACACATACTTTCAGTTCCGTTAACATAATGAACGGACCTGATAGATCTTTTATAAACTTAACTTAATAATAGCCGTATTTTTTTAATGCTTTTAAAATCTCCAGAGTTAGATTCTACTTATAAAAATTTTAACGTTTTAATTTTTAGTGCAAGCAAATTCAAAAATCAGTTAATTGTGAGTGTTCACTGAAAATATGTTGCAAAATCCAGTCATACGTTAAAATCATATGAGCATTTGATTTATAAATAAATTCAAATATATAAAGAAATAAATTAATTTAAATATATAAGAAAAAAGTGTCATCTATTGCCCCTCTAATATTTATTTTGTTTTCTTTTATTTAAATTAATTAATTTTTAGTGTTTACAGTTTTTATATTTCATATTACACACTGCACAACAAAAACTTAATGTTGTTTTTTTACAGCTCTGAAAGGAAAAATTACGGCTAATAATTACAATGCCAGCTAGCCAAAATTATATGTGCCGAGTTATGCATGCACAAAACAATGAGACGGAACAAGAGAATCACCTGGGAAATAAGTGTTTTGAGTGCTCAGGCCCACATCTGACAGTTATATGTGAAGCGTTTTTGAGTAGAAGTATTCAGCAGCGTTGGGTAAAGGTGAAGCAGCTTTGATTGTATTTTTCATGTTTGTGGAGAGGACACAATGTCATATAGTGCCGTATGAAAAGATCCTGCGGTATAAATGGTTGCCGTAAAAACCATAATAAAGGCGGTCCGAATCAGTTCAGCAGGTTTTGAGTTATGCCAAGCCATGTTCCGGCTTTCTCTTTAAATTGGTTCCGATAAAAATTATGGGTCCAAAGGGACAACTGAAGATTTTCGAACTCGTGGATGAACATAAGTGCATCTTCTGCAATAGTAACCGTCGGTGCATCTGATCCAGTTGCTATTCGAACTAAACTTAGATGAGTGGCATATGGTCCAACCGGTTTAAGTGCCAATCTCCATTTGCCAATTTTGTTTGCCCGAGCATAATCACCATTTAAATGTTTTGATCGTACTGTTGCCGAATATTTTAATAGTGAGAATTTTGAAATTGAAAATTCGTCACCGCCTATGGAGTTAGTCGATGAGTTAAGAGCACGTAAAACCTTGTCTAATACAACACGCCATATTAATAGCATCAATGATCGTTATGACGTAGGCCTTATATGGAGAAAAAATTCACCAATATTGACTGATAGTTACGCCATGGCTGTCAAACGTTTGCACGGAATTGAACCAAAATTGAGAAATAATGTCGAGTTCGCAGAAAGATATAAGACCGAAATCAACAAAAACATCGCCAAGGGTTACGCTAAGAAACTCACAGAAGATGAAATCGAAGATATCACAAAGCCGGTGTGTGCAGAACGAAATGCCGAAAGTTATCGCAGCCAATATTCGAAAGCTGTGTCTGCCATCAATAAAATTTTTTATGTGGACGATTACGTTGCCAGTTTCAATACAGAAGACAATGCTCTAAGAATTTGTCAATAAGTTGTACAAGGGAATCCAAACGCCGGTGTTGAACTTCGTAATTTTTCATTAAATCCAAAGTGTACAAAACGCTATGAATCTAGGTGAAAGTGCAGATGCCATCTGTTTGTATCGGCAGAGTCAAACTGAAAAATCTTGGGGATGTATTGACTTTATTACCTATTGACAAAGTATTGTTGCAAGAAACCTGGAATGCCAAATTAAATTGGGACGACTTGTTACCATCTGCGTTATCTCAAAAATGGTTGCTGTGGTGGAACGAATTTACCAGTATAACCAATTTCTTTGTACCAAGGTGCTACTCGCCGTATCTCAACATTGCCATAGAAGTTCAAATATATATATTTATGAATGCCAGTCAAGTTGCATTTGCTGCAGCCGCGTATCTGTGAATTGAAAATCAATATGCTGTCGATGTAGTTTTTGTCTGTGATAAAACCACAGAAACTCCTATCAATGCCAAGGTTGGAACTGCAGGTTGCAGTGTTGGCTACTCGATTATCAACGCTGATGGTGGACAGACATGAAATAAACATAAGCCGTGTTGTAGTTTGAACTGATGCTAAAATAGTTCTTTGTCGGCTAAATTCAAGAAATTGGTGATTCAAACCATTTGTTGTGCATCGTATAGTTGAAATATTGACATCAACGAAAGAAGACCAATGGAGATGCGTGTCAGCTGAAATAAATCCTTCTGGCTGCAATACGATCCAAAGGGGTGTCTAAAGTAAACAATGACAACATTTGGGTAAAAAGGCCAACCTTCTTAAGATAAGAACAAAAGTACTGGTCAATTGCTCCATTTTCGTTTCATACTGACACGCCAGGAGAAGAGATACTGACACTACTACAATATCAGATCGGTGAGACTTTGATTAAGTTTAACCGTTTTAGTTCTTTTTTTAGAGTTAAACGTTCTATTGCTTGGTTCGTGAAAGCATTCAAATATTCCATAGAAAACGGAATCCACTATCTATAGAAGTGGATTTCTTGCAGCAAGAGACTACAACGCCAAGCACACGTATTGGGGTTCACGGCTCTGTAATCTAAAAGGTAAATAGCTTTACAATTCCATTCTAAACAGAAAAAATGCACTAGACGTAATCTCTCCTGGGCAGCCAACATATTGGCCTACCGACAACAATAAAATACCAGACCTAATAGACTTCGCCGTAACCAAAGGCATGTGCAGAAATTTTATCACAACATACACAAGCTGCGATTTATCTTCTGACCATTCTCCAGTTACATTTTGTTTACTCGACGCTCCTCTGTTTAGTGATTGTTCCAATAGCCTTACAAGTCCTAGAACAAACTGGCTCAAATATAAAAAGAACATTAGTTCTTACATACACACAAATTACAAGATAAAGTTTAAATCTCACATTGAGGACGCAACTTCAGTCTTAAACTCAATTCAGATTTCAGCAGCCGAAAACTCCACCCCTAAAAACAATAAAATTTACAGATCCAATAAAGTACTTACAAATAGTGACATAGAAAACTTAATTTCTCAAAAACGTAGGTTAAGGCGCGATTGGCAAAAATCTTTCCCACTCAGTATCTACATGTACCACCTATCGACATGAATATCACGGCCAATGATCTTGTTCAAATAATCACAAAGAAGTTAGATTGGAAAAAAGCACCGGGATATGATAACATCTCACCTATCATGATAAAAAACTTACCCTTCTAGTCATAAATTTTATCACAAGACTTTTTAATGCCATTATTAAATTTGGCTTTTACCCAACAGACTGGAAAACATCCATGATTATTATGATTCATAAAACAGGTAAAGATCCCACGCTTGCCTCTTCATACAGGCCAAGAAGCTTACTGCCATGCCTTTCTAAATTCTTTGAAAGAGCACTGCTTTTAAAGCTGAAACCATTCCTTGACGGTCAAAACCTAATACCCTCCCACCAGTTTGATTTTAGGGAAAATCATGGAACTATTGAGCAAG